CAACGGTGCTTCCAATCAATAGAATTTTATTTATTCAGCTTTGCTGGCAGCAGTCACAAACTTCACACATCCAGGTCTACAACATATTTTTTTCAGTGATTACAATTTGATACGTTAGCGTAGAGATAGATAGATAGCACGCTAAAGTAAAGGAGCTAGATTCGTTGAAAGGCCACGTCCAGGCAAATAGAGTTATCGACATATGAACAAGTAAAACAGCTAATAACATCATTGAAGACGAGAAATGGATAGATTTTTACATATGAGTGCCGACATAGAAGTCGACGGTAGGCATACGTTCTTATCATTGCAATCGTATTTCTATGGCAGGAAGCAGCACTTTGCGGCATCAGTAAACTGTAGCAGTGGCAAACAAAAGAACTACCGCTAAGAAATGCCGGACAGGCATTTCTTAGCGATAGTATATAGATACATTGAGATGAGCATTTTTAGCTAGAAATACACAAAAATGACATTTCATTTTATCTTTTATCTTATCTATGGAACACTAGAGTACTACTGTTTTCTTGTGAAAATCCTTGATGAGATTGTGTTTGATTATAATAGTGAACAAGTAAATCGTATTACAGGAGTGCGGAAAGCGTTCGGGTTAGCGACTATTCAGTGATTATAGATATAATGGCAGAGTCGACAAAATTGATTCAGCAGCTTCAGGCTGTATTTACTGCTACTGAAAACGTCTCATTTTGAAAGTTCTAAAATATCTGTATAGAACAGTTTTGTACAATAATCATTACTAGGGGGAAGTTTTTCAATCGTACGTATTACGTACGGTAGGAATACGTTGATTGATTGGTTCTCATCACTCATCACAAAAACAACTTACTAAATTTGACCAGGGATGCAATCGCTATAATTTAATGGCAGAGACAATGGCTTCAATTGCCGATGATGAAACATCAAATGGATTAATAAGAATACAAGTAGCAGGAATGACAATAAGCATTCAGAATCTAGGCGCCTCTAGAAAGGCCAACTATATTACAAGCAAATAGGTCCTGTGTCGCTCTTGAGATAAATGAGCATGCTCTATAAAATTGTCGGAAAATGGATTTTTGAAGACAAGATAAATTCGTATCGTTTGATGCTATGGAGTTGCTGGCAGCGATTGAATTACTATTTTTCGTTTTAACATTGATGTTTTTGGTTTGCTAAGCGGCCTTGAAGTCCTTCGGCAGAACAAAAAAAGCCTTCGAGTAGTACGACAGCCGTAAAAATGTGATTGGTTAGCGGTAGCAGAGAATCGGCTAAATTGGAATGGAAACACGAAATATTGACATTATATTATGAGAGATTTAATACAATATTTAAGTACTTTGCTGAAACAAAACGAACTGTGCCATGAAACCCTAAGTCAAGTCACGACAATAACTGGAATGAGATAAAGGAGATAACAATGACGCAACATGGCAGCAGAACAAGTGAATTTGAATTTAGCCCGGGAAAAGAAATCCTTTCCAACCCACATTAGAACTCAATTAATTTCATACATTCAGGCATGCATTTTCGATATTGGTCGCAATAATATCAAAGTTTTCTGATTCTATATATATATATATATATATATATATATATATATATATATATATATATATAGGATTGTTGGAAGTGTTTTGGCATATATTTGGAGCATATAGATGGCCTCAAAGCCATGTACCTCACCTAATATGATAAGCATCTTGCAAATAAGTAAATATCTCTGTGTAAATATGCTATATTGTTCGATTTTATTTCAACAAATGCACAAACACATAAAAAAGAAAGCGTCACCAAACACTTTTAGATTATTCAACGAAATCTAGTTATAAAAACATGCTCGATACTTAAGTGTCACACGGATCGGTGCCAAAGGGTATTCTTGATCGTTTTTCTAGTTGTAAAGCCCTACAGAAACGCAGCGAAGTCGAGTCATTTCTAAAACGGCTAGCCACAAATGATGAAAAGTGTATCGCGTACGGTAGTAATATGAAAAACAATTTATGGTAATGTCTAGACTGACGCCAAAGGAGGTAACGCTATGTGTTTGGAAAAGCTGGAAAAGAATCGTGCGTTATGACTCGCGGCTTTATATGTGGGGCACGAAGTCAGATACCGCAGTTGTCATTTATGGACAGTCCCTAGCAGACTGTTTCGTTTGATCTGTGTGGTCGATGTGAATCCAGCGCATGTCAGCGTCAGGCATAGGAACTACAGCGTAGGTAGTGGACAGCTTTCGATCCAATGTCAGTAAGTAAATGTTCTGCAGCGTTTAATGCAATGCTTCTTCCTGATACGCCTCGAATTGGCCTTAAACAACACGGCCGTTGGGCCGGCTTTTATCCATATCTTGTTTATCGTAGCCACTATTCAGCTTTCACAAAATATAATGCCATGTCATCATGACACCCTTGCCGACGAGTGGATGAGGCCAGTTTTTCTAGTCTATTTATGTTTTTGTATTTATAGTGCTTACTGGCCGCGGCGGTAATCTATTACTTCCTTGTAGTCAAGCACGGCCGACCTCCGTATGTTCATGCATAACCTCCAGCCTCCTGGGCCTTCGCAATTTACGTGACGAAGGCTCTGTCGCGGACCTGAAGTCACCAGCGACGATCGTTTAACGATTGAAAGAGGCGGAGAAGGAGCGGGAAAGGTTTGAAATACCACCCGTAGCTAATGCTGCCGTTGTTAAGGCGGTTGAACTTCGAGTTGGCATGTGTTATTATTGCCAATTATGGCATTGAATGGATAAGAAAGACGGTGACGACAAAGGCTGAGCCTCACCCTTCGTTACGCTGGCAGCGCCAACAGCAGTGCGAATAGCAACAGCGAACGCGGTACTAAAAACAAAATACCATTGTTGTTGTCCTTCCAGCGTGACGTTGCTGGTGCAGATCCTAGCGACGTAGTTGGCAAATGATAATCGCGATGAGACTGGTCGTGCTGATGATACGCGTTAATGGCGATACAGGCACAACCGACTCCCACCGAACGGAGCAAGATAGGAAAGAGACGAGTAGGAAAACAGATAACAAACCGTATACTGCTGCTGGTTAGACATTATGCATAATTTCTAATGCTATTACGATAAGATAGCTGAGAGACTCTCCTGCAATATGGATCGATCTTGGTTTGTATACTATTTATAAGAACGATATACTGAGTTGACAATTATTTGATATTGGCGAGCTTGGTGCCAAATGAGCGACAGGCAGCGCCAAGTTGACCACAATATGTTTACGTTTCAACTGTCTGGGTTCTTGAAGGTCTTTCGGACGCATACATGCATTTAGAGAAGTTGATCGAATGGTTAGTGCGGTTGTGGAGCAAAAATGTACGCCATACAGTTATTTCCGCTTGTGAACGTAAGAACAGATCTTGAATTCCGTCTAGATGGCGCACGCCGTAAGCAACAGTTGTGGGACACAGATAATATATCTATTGTAGTACCTTTATCATATTTGTGGCAGATCAAAGATATACGACTTTAGATAGAGAGTGTGCTTATACACAACCGCAATATAATGTTCGATGCTTTCAGCTTTGGCCAGCAAGGCCTGTACCCAACAGCAGTGGTTCTAGTGTGTTTTAGGCTATTTTTCTGTCTTCGCTTATGTCATGCTGCGTTCATATTTACAACTATTGCTATATAGGCGGAATGTGCATTGTCCTAAAGTAATAGTATAGGATGTTTGAAATCGCTTTTGTTCCGTCAAACATGGCGTCAGATGCGCCTGTTTACGTCTAAAATACTCAGGGGCGCCGAACAGTTGTTTTGCTATCGGGACTCGGATAATGCACACACACACACACACCCATACACTAACCGATTTTTCATTGTGCTTGTAATGTAATCAATGAGAACATATGTGTTTTTACAGACGTGTGTTTCTGTCACTGTCATCAATCATATTGTAACTATGTGTGTGTACCCACTTCTCCTGCATTTACTGCCGTCTTGTAGTTGTCTCAGTGGTGTGTCTGTCTGCGGTAAGGCCTGCGGTAACTTACATTCTCTTAGCATCTTATCGTTGCGAGTTTTCTATTTCCATTTAGATACTCGTTTTTCAGCGCTAGGTTGACAACCAAGAGTATATCGGGTTATGACTAATTTCGTAGGCTAACAGGCGCGTCTGTAAATAAGCAGTTCATCATGTGGCAGCCTTCCCCTGAAATCATCGTCTTGCTGCGCTTCGTGCTCTCTTTCCGGTTGAAGCTCCGTGTCATGCACCGGCAAGGAGTGAAGCCTATTTAAACAAATACGGTTTGTTTACAAATTTGACCGTACCGGTCAAACACATTTTATACCTACGCCTATATGGATTTAATTAAATCAATATGAAAAGTAGCTTTAATATGATTCAGTTGACCCCAGCGAACTCTGTTGCTGGTGCTCTTCATTGAGCATACCCTTTTATCCAACGATGGACGAACCTTCCTTCCAGTACGTTTCTGCCCATCTACATCCAACCCTACCGCACCCGATTGGCTAAGCCTGCCATGTATTTTCTCAAAGTCCTGCCATTGTCATAACGATGACCGCATGTGTCTTTTTCACCCTTAAGAATCCATGCTGATGAATGGGTAGCCGAGTCAGTTTACGCACAGCTTTTTTTTATCATGAGATTACTATACTTCGTTGTTCTTTTTTTTGTTAGCGGTCACTGTTTTTCCGCACTGGCTTGTGATCAATGTTCTTGCCGCTGCCGTTGCTCCCACTGCTGCCGCCCGCGCTTGCCGCTACCCGAAGTAGAAGTTGCTCTTCGTACCGTTGCGTGTCCGCCGTCTTAGGCGCAATTTCTATTTCTAACATTACTGCCCGCTAGAAGTTGTCGTAATACTAGACTATTGTATCCAGCAGTACTAAGTCGGCATCGGCGTCGAACAGTACAGTAAATTGTTTCTCCGTTCCGCCCTCTTTCTCTCTCTTGACTCGACTGTTTTTGCCTTTCTGTATTTATGTGTGTATTAATCCCAGTTAGGCTCGTCGTCGATCTCAGCCTGACTCGGTTCACTGCTGCTGCTGCCGAGGAAACCTAACACACAGCTACCCGCCCCCATCCATCGGTGTGGCCTTTTGGCCTATGATGTGGCCCGTCGACCGCTGCGCTATCAACAACTCACTTCTCTCCGACAGATTTACTTACTAGAAATACCAATGCAGTTGCTCTCACGATTCAAACAGAATCATCGGTTCCTCGGCTATATCAAGCGCGATGCTGCTTGGAGTTGTGACGGTCGCAGTGGCTACAGGGACCGCATCAGCGTTGTGTTAACCTCCTCGCCAGATAACTGTTAGCCTGATAATACTGATATGATAACAAAGACAGGGGTTGCGCGGCTGTGGCCGCACTCTGCTGGCTGCTGGCGGTGCTGGTGCAGATTCAACAACGACAACGACGACGACGGCGAGAGAGACGGACGTTGTCGGCAGAGCGATTACAAGGGCTACGACGAGTTGCGCTATTGTCAGGGAAAGCGCTTTCAGGTCGACATCGTTCGCCAGTCAAACCGAGTGGAGTTAGGACACAGTCAGTCCAGTTGTGTCGCCCTGGTTGGTGTTCTTTGACGAATGTTCGAGCGAGACGGGATACGGCGTGAGCGCTGACTCTTCATTTGTGGCAGCGGCCGCAAAGATCGTCCGTAACAGCGCTGGCATATCCAACCATTCAGTCGGTGGAATTGTTAGTGGTAGTCAACCTTACCCTACAATAAAAAGAACAGAACGATTATGAGTACATAGAGTAGGAGCTATTGCTGCGGTAAAGCTTCGGCGGCGGCGGCGGCGACGACGGCAGAGGCAGCCGTTGTGAGGAACTACCTCAAAGTATAAAGATCATGATCAACGACATCGACGTTCTCATCATCACCAGTAGCGACACCAGCGACACCAGTAGTATTTCTAAACTGATCGGTATATGAAGCAACGATAGACGAGAAGGTGGAAAAGGCGACAAACACGTTATAGTGAAATTCAATTTTTTGAATCTGTGAAGAGCATTGAACACATATGCGAATCACCTTCAGACGCCAGCTACCACCCACAACTATCTTCTAGTAGCCTCGTAGTGTACTAGAAGCACATAAGATAATTGTAGCTTGTCTAGTTGATCGGAAGAGATGAACAAATAGCTTGTTGTTGTGATTTGCTAGAGACTTTAGAGTTGTCAAAACATCGTGAGCGTCTTTGCATCGGGGCGCGGTACGCGGAAAGCGATAGTGGCTGGATAATCACATGAAACAGTAACGACAGTGACGATGCGTGGCCCATAATTATAGATGTCAGCGGCAATGTGTTCATCGAGTTCTGTGATACCTGTGATAGTGCTTTACATGGCTTTAATAAAGTGAACGGCCATTTAGGCAAGCAATATTGATAAGCGCGCCACCTAGGAGTTACCATAGAGCGACATAAAGGCTAACTCCAAATACGTAAGTATACTGGGGTGCTTAGGGTTCTTGTGGCCTATTAAAAAAATCGGTGTCAGGCTTAAAGGACACGCGGGTGTTGCTGTACACATAGCTCAAATACGCTTATCGGAAAATTATTGATTATATGGGTATAGAAGAAGCTTTACCGTTACTTTACATTGGCCGTTGTTGTGTTTTCTATTTACCAGGTTTCAATGTTGATATTTTTGCTGTTAGCCTACGGAGTGAAGATCTATGCTGAATGTATTACATAGTTACGAACGATCCGATGGTAACGTAAAGACACTATCCACGTTACGATGATCCTATCGCTCTTGCTGCATTCGTCTACTATTCGGGGACTATGCAAGTCGAGTATGGAAAAAATCCGCTGATTGCGTACGTGCGTGTATGCACTTAGTTAAAGCAGAACCCCATATCTCTGGGAAACCACTTGATAACTAGGCGCCACTACAAGCCGCTACGTCCACTGTCCGTCCATACAGCGAGTATTACCCGGTGTAATGGTATTGTTTCACATCTGACGCCGGGTGATCTCATGCAGCAGGCAGTAACAGCGGCGGCGGCGGCGGCGGCGACTCCGGCCACGCCAGGAGATTGGTGCTGGTAGTAGAGAAAGTGAGCGCAAGCATCATTAGATTACTGGCCATTTGTCAGTGATATGTAGATCCCTTGCTTGATACGATGGCTGTGGCTGCTGCCGTCATCGCTGCTAAGATGCAGAGGACGACGATTAACATCTGTTAAGTTGCTATCTTGTTACTTTGCTGAACGGGTTCTTGGTTTCTGGGGTAGCCTGTTACCACTTTGAAGGACAAAAGGTCCGGAGCGCGAAACCAAAACTCCTGTAGCGCCCGCTATCGCTACCACCAGCTACTGCTGCTTCTGCTTGCACTTACCTATCTCTCCTTCTTCTAAAAGATGATAAAAAAAAAAAAAAAAAAACTTCTCGTTAAGAATATAGTGAAAATAAAAACAGCATTGACATATTCGAGTATTTGATTTAATTTGACTTTCCAGAGAAATGGAGTCCCGCGAGCGGAGCGAGCAGAAGCATCCCGTATTATTGCAGACGACCGTACTAAGCCAGACCACTGGTCAGCCAGTATATACGCTGATCAAACTTCCTCCCGGCACAACTATTGAGAGCTTGGCCAGCATTCTAAAAAGCAACGACAAGATGCCGGCAGTTCGAAAGGAGGTCATCACATTTGGCGAACGGGCTCGCCAGACCTTCTCGGAAGATGATCGCGACGATGACTCTGGCAGACTTGAAATCGATATGACAGAAGATGAAACCGTTGAAGCCGACGACGAGATGTCCAGGAATGAAACGTTTCGTGCAAGTTCTAGCCCACCCGCGGCCAGCTCGTCGGAGGATACAGTTCCCTCAGTTGAACAGGGTAGAGACACACTGCCCACGCCGCCATCTAGTCCTAATCCAACCCCGAACACATCCGAAGCCCCTGTTGGAGCTTCATTCCTCGCTATGATACCTGAATTGTCGCGCGCTGGATGTCATAACTCCCACAAAGCGGCGATTCTCGGTGGGCGATACGTTCTCCAGAAAACGAATAGCAGGGCAAGGCTAACTGGCCCATTCTATTGCAATGCTTGCGGCTTACGCTTTGACTGGCATAGCAGCGCGAGAATGCATTTGAATTTTCATAATCGTGACTACGAGGCCTGTGACAAGTGCGCGAAGCGGCAACAGAACCCCCAGCCACAGTTGTCTGGTGGTAAAAACACAGCTGGATCACCCAGCGGTGGACATGGTCCTGATAAAACCGGCAGGCCTCCACGGTGCACGGTGTGTAATAAATCGTTCTACCTATGGAAGACGTACTTAGCACATCAGGACAAGCACAAGGACAAAGTCAAATGTCCGCTGTGTTGTAAGTTTTTCCAGAGTCTTCACAATGTCGGCCGACATTACTACGATGAACATAGTGGAGTTCAGATCACGTGCAACATGTGCGGTAATGGCTATCGTGCCTTTAAGCAGTACCAAACCCACATGGAAACCATGCATATGATGGAAGAGCGGGCTAAAATGTCATCTGCGCCCCCCGATGATGGCAACGTCAACTACTCTATTGACCTGCCCACATTGCAACAGCTTGACCCTTCAATCCGCGTATTCTCCTCGGTAGAGCGCACCTGCCCAGTTCCCAACTGTGGGCGAATTTTCTCGACACAGCATACGATGCAGCGCCATATATACGATTTACACTCTAATGAGCAGCTGCCGTGTGGCCTATGTGGCAACGCCTATCGAACGTATTTGCAATTTGAACGGCACTGCGAGCTTTTTCATGGTGAAAACTTCCGTATCGAACTGCCGGTGGGCGAAATTAGCTTGCCCTTGAAACGCAAAAGGGATTCAGTGGTTAGCGAAAGTGCCGAATATATGAAAAGCATTCCGTCCTTGCCTCGACCACGAACTAAAGCTAGCAAGACGACATCCTCGTCAACAGCAGCAGCCGTAACGTTAACGACAGCATCTGCCTCCCAGGCTGCAGTTCCTGCGCCTGCCGCCAATAAAAGCCCCACTGCTCCTTCTACATTACCTGTTTCTACTTCCTCCGTATCGTCGACAAATACCGTGACTGGTAGAACCGCTCCTACCGCCACATCTACTTCACTTGGTAGTGTAGCACGCAAGCGCAATCCATCGACGAAAACTAAATTTAGAGTTGTGGTAGCGCCATTGGATGAGCCTTTGGACATGAGCCTTGTCAAGCTGGAACCTTTCTATGATGTAATTCTGCCTGACTGACTATTGGTGCGGCCTGTAGAAGATCATTCAAGAATGGAAACGAAAGCTGATGCTCGTTGCATCGCAAAGAAGATGAACAAATGGAATCTATTTGGAAATATAGTGTACATAAATAAACCAATCACTCTTAGATGACAGAGTTGTATTTGCGTATTCAATTCAACTGAAAAATTCCTATTCTGGGTTTGGCGCGCTTGTCGGACATCAATTATTAGCTGCAGACGACTTTAGTTTAAGTATGTCTAGGGAACTACCGTCACTGTTTTTGCCGTTCAAATGAAAATAATGACGAACGCTCTAAACGCTTACTGAAAACGGACACATTTCGTCAGAAGATTCGCTTGTATTTAATCTTAGTGCTGCGACATATTAAGTCTTTGTGTTGGAAGAGAATAGCAACATCAGATTAAAGATGGTGAGGAACGTTATCTCATCTAAAACAGCCTGGCGCTAGTCATGTTTTCTTCATGGATCTGTACACGAGTCGTGCCTATAACGTTAAAGAAATTCAGCCTGAACACGCATATAAAATGTAAAAATCTTCCGTTCTTTCCGATTCTTTGTTATACGCAATTCAAAACCCTTTGTTAACCCTACGAATGCATTGTTTCGTCGTGTTTTGTACCTGTATTTTGAAGTGGATGTAGCACTCATTGAAATGCGACAATTAAGACATTTTCTAAAATAAAGACCGATTTTAGGATTGAAAGTCTTTTATGTGAGAATAAATGGTAATAAGTATAAATTATAAGTGAACATACTCCACAGAAGATGAAAGATTAACACACTGGAATAATAAACAGAAGGTAAAGATAAACGGTATCACTCATCTCTTAATAGATTTTGAGGCTTTTTGTAACTGTGTTTTCTTGTTTTTAAATAAGTTTCGAATCACTGGTCAGTCACTTCCCGTTTGTTTCTTTAAATGCTTTTGCGGTTTTTGCTTTATGAAATGTTTCAAAAATCCTATTTCAATTTCTCGGCTCGAATTCAAATTTCGTGTACCAGGCAAGGGTTTCGAAAAGCAAAGAACCCTTGAAAAGTATAGAACACTTGCCGATTAGCAGACGATACATTGGGAAGGGGAGTCAATAAATACGAAAAGCGTTCCGTAACTCAGAGGGCAACAGCTTACGTCTACGCCTGATATCTGCAAACTCATCTACATTTGCCATATGCATAAAATTTAGTTTCAAGGGAGGCCAGACAAGAAAGCCGACAAATTGTTGTAATCGAGGTTCTTGTGCGTTGTCTGCAAATGCCCCAAGGCGAACAACGGTGTTGGCCATTTACTGCCATTTAGCTCTCTATTACAAAGATATTCCGAGGAACAGAATATAGGCCGCTATGCAAACGTTTAGTAAAGTGTTTCTCCATTGATTAGCGCATAAGAAATGCTTAAAGTTTTATCCACTTTATTATTTTTTCAGTTTCAGATAAATATAGAGTTTTGTAGATACTGAAGTTGATCGTTTCAGCAATAAAAGGAGTATTGTCGATTAGGTTTAATATTGTGATTATTTAATTCAATAGGTTGTTAGCATTATCTCAGGAAGGTGACCTAGCAGAAACTATTCGATTTCAAAAATTCCAAGAACATTCAAACGATATGGTCTCTAAGAATTTTACTGCACCTACGTATCGCTTTGAGCGCATAAGGTCGAGACGATGCGAAAATACCCAATTGACTCTCATATTATCTTTGGAAACTGCTCACTTTTAAAGAAATCGTTGCCGATCTATCGAAAAGCTATACATATTAAACAGATAGTTTAACAAGATTTATCCGTTATGTCTATTGTTTCAAATTTTATTAAATGTAAGCCAGGTATGTTAAAAACATTTTTTAGCACACTTGAAACACGAGGCAATTTTTGGCCATATGTATGTACATATATATATATATCCTTTATTTTAATTTGGAACCGAGATAATATACAAAATGCTTTACTTCAATCAAGTAAATGTTTGTGGGAATTCCTTATCTTCTTTGTCTAAATATAATCTTCCGATTATTTCGAATTAGAACGACTAATCCGAAAAAAATGCACAAGTCAAAGATTAGATTTTCTGAATTAGATCCGAGATATAAAGCACAATTTGTGTGGATAAAAAAAAGTTAAACGGAGTCGGGACAGAATCCTATGAGCTGTTCTTCTACAGGGCAAACTGTTATTACTTCAAGTCAATACTAGATCGTTGATCATTTTACCTTTGGTTTGCTTACGTTCGATTGGCACTCAAAACCATGAAAAAAGATTTTTCCCAAGCAATAATCAGAACAAAGAGATCCTGATAGTGTCTTTTAAATTTTCATCATATGACACTATATAAATACGAAGAATTATGCCAGAAAGTTCCATAAAGCGAAACGTCACTCCAAAAAAAGATCAGTTTGGACCGTTTTCGTTCTGTACCGTCGCGCTTCTAAAGCTTCGTTTACTAACCTTGCCAAATCCAACTACTACAGACCCACCAAGGATTTGGCTATGTCCTCCTGCACTAAATATTGTTACGAGTTATTCAATGTACTTGTGGAAGAATTGCTTTTCAGCTTATTGAGTAATGGTGCTTTCATTGAGCGTATATGAGACTTACTTTATTTCGTGTAATTCTCATGTGCAAACGGGCCACCATGACAATAGTGCGACTCAACACTATATTTGCGGAGAGGTTTTATAGTGACTGGACTGGGCTGGGCTGGGCTGGACTGCAATGAAGTCTGCATGATGTCCGCCGTCCCGGTCCGATGTCGATTTGTGGCTCAAACAGATCTCTTCTAAACGTATTTGGCTTCATAAATCCAAATGGCCCTTAGCGTGTTACTCAATTTCGTTGTTTCAGCTGTATGCTCTTTAGGGGGGAATTAATAATACGGTACGTTCTTACATACAATGACCAATGCCATTAACAGGAGTTTCCCCTTTTTCAATGCTTTCTTTAGCGAGAGCTACGACATCTGATCTTGTCCAGTCACTGAGACCAGACAGGCTAATCAGTAATACGTATTTCATCTTCTCTAACTTTTGCGCCCATGATGCTAATTATTGGCGCCATTTATAATCCCAGCGTTACGCAAGGAGATAGAGAGCCAATCGTTAGTTACACAACGTTAGTATTAAAATACGCCCAGCATGTTCCAATGCAATCTGTACTGCTGGCCGGCTAAAAACGAAATAAAAAAAAGAACATGTGATATGTAGATGCTGTATTGATGTTTTATTGTATTGAGTAACCTTTGTCTGCGATTAGCATTGGAGGCCATTGGCTTAGATGTCATTTCGTACTGGATAAAACAATCACCTCGTTTATTACACGCAGGTATATATACCTGCGTGCGTTTGCGTCGATATTGCAGCGGACGTGTCAGATCTCACTCAGCGGACTGATAATTACGACGAAGTCGTAGGTACGTCAATGAAGTCTAGTATTTTCTAGTCAACGAAATCTGAAAATACTCATTGGCATGTTTCCACGTCGTTAGTGTAGGCATATTCACGTTACCCTTTCTTCCGTGGTGAGAACAAGTCGGGGGAGAACAGAAGCGACATGGAATTTTTCGCTACGCCTCAGCAAACGAAAGTCCCTTCTACAACAAATAGACGAATGTTCAGTGGTCATTAGTGCGTTGTTTCTTGGCTGTTGTTTTCTGCTGGCGACAAGGTACAGAACAATAAGTGCAATGTTTAAGTCCACGTGCATTTTTCCACTCGCCCTTATTGGTAAGTGTTTGCATCACAAGAGAAAAATTGTCACGGCTAAGTGAATTGATACTGAGAGGAAAGTCTGTGTGCGAGTCATGAAAACTGGCTCATGTACTTGGGTGACGATGTTCTCGTATTGAAACTTCCGTAAGGTTCGTGAGTTCTATCTGAAATTTTACTTCTATGCACACGCAGCACGCCTAGTTTAATGGAGGGTATGAGGCAAGTTCAAGTGCATCTCTCGTCACAACCGAGCATAGATCGCCGAGATTTGTAACACAACCAATGGAATCTTTTTAGCAACTCATGCCATGTATGCCTCAGGTACTATGAATACCATGATCTCAGAATATTTCGGTCGGTGCCATGTCTACGAATAAATGTAGAGGTGCGGTTGTGGATTTACTTGCTCTAGCCATGGTTATGTATCGTTTCTAAATACAGCTTCTCTTTATGCTTAGGCAACTTGAGATAAACAAACAGTGATCAGCGTCTGTCCTTTTTTGTTTTACTTTACGCGTCGCTATTAACTAGGTATCAATCAATTAGTCCCCTGGACACAGCCTCAATATGCCCTTCTCGTTCGGCCGACGTGGGTAACCTAAGAATTCTTTATTTACAATAAACGTCCACTCTGAGCAAACGGATACACATATCGTTTTTCCCAAATTTCGAATCATCAACATAATTCACTCATATCATATACTTTCAAATTGATATATAATGCAGCCCGCATTGTCATTCCAAACTATTGCCTTCAAATCGTCGCCCCTTTCATCGGTTATAACTTCCTGCATGTAGAAGCAATAGGAATGTCTTAGCGTCCGTCGCAGGCGAACAAGTAGCGCCGCTATTAGCATGTCTCGCATGTGTCAATGGCTACTATTAGCACCTGTCTGCGCGTCCACGCCGGCGTAATACGCGGTCAGTCGTCTTCGAGTAGCTTTTATCACATGAAGCATCAGGTGTGGCTAGTGTAGAAGTACCGGCTAATTGTTCGGATGGAAATCTGGCATTGCCCCGCGTGTTCCTAACCACGCGGCAGACTCTTGTGCTTCGCAAAGAGCCGCAATAACCGATTTGGAACTAGGCAGTCGTGTGGTACCAGCGAGTGCCGCCAGTCTGCTCAATCACTCAGCATTCTTCTGTCATAAGATTCGGTAGCGTTTATCGTCCTGTGGCCTTGACGCGACGTCGTTCGTGTCTATCTTGCGACTTCGTCCGCTACGGCTGGTCTTGACGCATGGTGTTCGCCGCAGCGTCCCAAAGATAGTGGATGGTCAAGTAGTAGACTACATGTAGTAATACCGCTCTATACACGCTCAGCGTCGTTTGCTTCTGGACATTCTGCCATGCTGCCTATAGATTTTTGATGAATCAGGCAGCGGAACAATCCACATAGCTATATCCACCTCATGTTTCAACGGTGAACATTTAACGCGTCGTTTTTGGAAGGTTCTCAAATGTGCTCTCTCAGTTCCGATGCTGCTGCCGCCGCCGCCGCTAGTGACGAGAGAAAAAGAGAGACGAAACTTTTTGCAAGTTGCAATGTTGTTCGTTGATCTGAGCAGCGACTTCGGCTGAGTCATTTTTATGGCACAGAAGCACTACCTAAAGGATTTTGTGGCTGATCGGCTGTAAGTCAGTACCCGATCCAGAGTCTGTAACGTTAGTATCTGGAATGTATATTGTTTATTCTGTAATTGTGTGAACGCACAGCTTAGCAATGCGAGCAATGCAATAGCGACACACAGTGTAAGGGCCCAAAAGTATTATTTTCGAATATAATAAAGACAAAATATTTATACCGAATATGTCCACATATGCACGCATATATTACCAAATTTGACGATCATATCTGAAATACACTAACAAGACTATCCCAAGACTCTAAAAAAGCCCCACGTACGTTTCAGCTTTTATAAGTTAACGCGGTTGTGTTGTATGAATTTTTTTCCTCATTTTTATTCAATATACGCTACCACATTCGCTTGCGGCTCAGTTGTGCAGCGTTCGATTCTGTATACGGCTGTAAAGAGACAATCATTTTAACAATAAGGTTATTTAAGTAAATAGGGTAGATTTTATAGGAACGCTCTTCAACATACGCTATATACGAATGCTAAGGAAATCGTGTTGTCCCGCTGAACATGTTGCTCTTAAACGCTAAACGTATCAAGGCGGACTACATCTTATTGAAGATATAAGCCTTGAATGGGGCTACAGTAATCTTTACGGTCCTTCTTCTTTATGGAAAGCTATTTTCACAAAATTTTTGACGTTGAAAAACGTTTGTTAACAAGGTAAACGGTGTCAAAAAATTGTTTTCAATGGCAATTGCAGTAACAGATGGACATGCTGGATTTCGAAAGCGTCCAATCATTACCGATCATTAACATTACTATTATATATGCAGATAACCTGACTGCAACGCAATCACTTATATTAAGATACGTCAGAGGCAGACGCGCGAATTGAATTTTGTGTTGGTGGCACATTTGTTACTAGCCAGCTCTATCATGTTTTTAATTTGTATTCAAAATGTTTAACGTATAATAAATATTAGTTCGAAAACCATCGAAAGCAGTTGTTATTTATTTCTAACACATTCTGCGTTTCTATAACAAAGTCCACTAAAAATACATACTACCTTGCCTGTGTGTCTCAATGCCTCTTTTGTGAAGGCCAAACTAACGAAGGAAGATGCCGACAATGCGGCCTAATTCAGTCTGATTATGGATTTCATCTACTAGTGATTGTGAAATGCAGTAATCATTGAGAACAATGGGTGGAAAATTATTACTCAAAGTCCTGCAACGCGGTTCTAGCGAGCTTAACCATATGTCGGTGGCATTGCTGTTGAAAAAGGTGGTTTAGTATTGTCTATAGGATCTTTTCTGTTCGATAGCCCCATTCATTTTTTGCAACTGAGCCATAAACTGACTATTGTTAACTGTCTAGATCGTCTCAAACATCTCTTTGTATATAAAATGGTTCAAATCTTGCAAAGCATTGTCTTTCCCGGTTAGATATCTTGCTTAACTTTGGGCTCAGGCATATCTGCCGAAGTTACTCATTTCTTTTTATACTCCATATTGATGTAAAGAGACCACTTCTCGCCTGTGTAACAGCTCCATATAGAAACCTGTTATTGCAGCTGAACTTTCACAAAGCACAAATATCCCAAGCGACTTCGGTAGTTTTTTTAACATCAGCAAAAGACAGTTTGAAGTAGGTTTTGAGACTGAATCGTGGTTTTGTCAAAAACATCGATCTATAAAGCTCGAACCCGAGACAAAATTTTGGTTACCACACAAGAAAGTAACAACAAATTTATGTGAGAAAATGAGAAGTAGTTAAAAAATGAAGAAACAAAAGGGAAAGCCAGCTTCTCTACTATCGAAGTCCTCTTTTATTAGACCAAAGCATAACTGATTATTCGCCCTTTTGTCAGTTACTGTGGCTTGTAATATATTTATTGATATATTATGAAATTCTAAAATCGTTTGTAGCACATATCCTAACCAGTATTGTACTCGCAATAGCTTTGTGGATAACGTGTTTTCCTATTAATCCTTGGGACACGTGATAATTTCGATTTAATTCCAGGCTTAACATACTTCATTTCGTGCTGGGAGCCTGTACTCTGATGGAATGGCTAGCAGCGGTACCGAACGTAGAACTCGAAATCTTTTAAATAACATTATCCAATCTATACAGTCTGGTACCACCCTGAGTATGTATATATATAACTGTAACTATAGTTGTCATATACATATTTGTAAGTCGTGGAGAACTACCTAACCAACCTCGATGAAACATTTAACACAATAAATGTTTGCCAATATATTCTAAGCCTTAGTAATCAGCAAAATAATTAACCAGATTTTACGGGTTTTTTACGGTTTTTCTGTGATGTCAAATTGCATCGCTTGAGTCATTCTTAATGTTCCTAGGGATTCATCTATAAAGCTAACCCTCTAGATCTTCCGCTACCAGCTTGCTTGAAGTATCTTGCGAAGCCAAGGTTAAACATGGTTTTACCATTTTATTGTTCGAAAAACGACATGTTCAGAGCTTATTCCGTTAGCTTTGTGTATAGAAATGAAAAAGACGTAACAATAGAATGGTGCTATTTCACTGACCGGATGGGACTTCGCTTCAAGTGCCGCTACGGCGTTAGATCTTTGTCGTAAGCTAACGGTTCACTTTTACCAATAGACTAGAATGGCGCACTGCAACTGCACCTGTTTGTTAACCGATTACACTAGACCAATAGATATCTCTAGGCTGCTTGCTGAAATTCTTTTTTTATAATATGAGTCTTTTGACTGGCGATCTTCCCGCGTCTGGGCAATAAATGACACTTGAAGGCCGCGAGTTGTGCCGTATAAAGCTTTGTTTTAATACATGTACAACGACTTTAGGTGAGGCTGTGCCTTGCTTTTAGCCTAGAGAATTGTTATGCAATGTGATTTTAAGTATGGTGAAAGAACGTCAAATCTAAACTAGAAATGATAAATGTACGGTGATGCTTAAATGTTTCACCGAAGCCTACACAAGAAAAACGAAGGCATTTTATTAGTGTCAACTCATCGCGTACGGGTGTCTTCAAGCATGGCGGTCAGCTATTGCACCAACTATCATTTGTAAACCACAGAAATATACTTTCTATCTTCACAAAACCGCCATATAATAGGGTTTACCATCGTTTACATCACAAGTAGAATGATAGATTCTTTCTATATTCGTACGATCCTAAAGTCTCATTTTTGTAGGATGACTTCCTGTATGCTAAATAAACTAACATTTCAGGGTTCGTTGGAGGATTCCCGCAGGGTGGGCCGGCTGAGTCGTGCGATTCGTTGCTGCCCCGACACATTCACACGGAGCCTAGGAAACCGCAAGAATCGCCGTATACCTTCATCGCATCCGCGTCCGCTTATGATCAGCAAAAAACGCTTCATGGCATTCAAGGTTTGTAAAATCACTGAACTATCGACCATTGTACATCAAATAAAAAATTAGGCAATTATAATTCGCAAACATCGTTTGCACAGCGTACGATGATGATGCACAAGAGACAATATATGATTGAATTAAAAAAAGAACCGCGATGGCCAGTAAGCTGATGACGGGTATGTGGAAAAGGCTAATATCCTTCGCTGAAAGGAATAATTAGAGTTTTAGCTTTTATTGTATAATATTTAAAAAATGCATTGTGTAGCAAAACTTTAATTGATTGGTACGATTCATAAATATAGCACAGTATCTGTTAACAACTGTCCAGATTGATCATCCAATTTTAATTGTCAACTGGGCTTCAACAGCTTATTGATAGAAGCAAAAATTAATAAATAAAAAGCCGTACAAATGTTGGTATTAATTCTTAATCAATGTAAAGCCTACTTCTTTATCTGTTGTCCTTGTTCCAGATGTGGGGTGCAAGTGAACATATCTAAAGAGCCACCTTGGTCGGTCTGATAGATACTAGTTTGCTGATATATACGAGTTTATTTTTATATCTTCTGGTTTCTGTTTCGGCGATTAAATCTCGATAATTCGACCATCTATGCGCTGTACCAGGGTTAACAGTATTCTCATTTATATCTGGGTACAGCTAACGAACCAACAAGAAGTGTTTACACAACCAATGCAGAAAATTATTTTTATCAAAAGTAAAAACTACTCACTTGAAGAGTTATATTTAAACGCGGCCGCGTTTAGACATCGCCAATTTAGTTGAAAATTAATGGTTGAATTTCAAACATTGATTACACAAGCTACCAACTCAAACATCTTTTCCTTTGTTTTTTTTTTGTGTTTTCCGCACTCGATGCTTATCTACTAAAAATAAGCATAACTACATGCAACGCTAACACTGTGTCGAAAATGTATTTATTTTCAATTACCAGTTGAAATCTCCGGAGCAACATTCAAAGGCTTTATGGTTGCCGCTATCGATCCCACCACCCACAAACGTATTGGACGATTCCAAGCGGTGAGACAACTACGTAAAACTATATACGCTACTTGGATCATGCGTTGACGTAATGCAAGTAGGCACCCGCTTCCCGGGGTCAGCATAAAAAGTGCCGTTTGTGTTATTCAGTCGTGTGTCGCATGACAGGTTAAATGCACATGATTTCAGTGTACGCTCTCAAAAGTAATGAAATTATGGTTCTCACTGCGACAAAGGCGATGAACTTTTATCAGTATTGGGGGTCATGGTGCTGAGAGGGTTTTAATATAACAAAAGAAATCGCCTGGCGCTAAACTGCGGCAGCTCTAAAGGAAAATATGCTAAGCTGAAACAGTGCGCCACAAAATTGTTTAGTCGATAATTTTCCTGAATTCTTGTTACAGGTGAAAGGCGCACATCCTGTAGCCTGCTCTGCTATAACTCATTCGGATGGTCAACTGAAGCAACGGGTTTCCCTCATCTGGGTTCCGCCTCATGACGTTCCACATGGTAACGTTATCTTCATGGCCACCGTCGTCAAGTCATATTCGAACTATTACAGCAACTTAATAGCCGCAGTTCCCGCCGCTTATAAGGCTAGGGCCTAAAGCCTTCGCTAGAATATCATCTATCTATATACATGTCTCAGTCATCGTCCAACACTCTACTGTACGAGCAGGCCAAAAATTTAAGTCTAGGTTTTATAAACTGATTAGAATAGTTATGCAGATTGAGAAGTTAACTAACGAACAAGGTAAAGGTGAAATGCGCCAGAATACAAGATAACGAAGATCACTGCCACTACAATAAGTATTGAAAACGAGTATTTTTTCCTCTAAAAAGCGTGTATTTAGCTTGTTCTAATCTTCCTGTCTTGAAGTTCACCACTAAAAATTTGACATTCCTAGCTAACCTACCTCCGATCAGCATAGCGCTTTTTAACAGTAGCAGAGTCTAATTATAAATATTCCTCGTTACGATGATCGTAGCTATCCAAAAATATTTCAAAATTTAAAAAAAAAAATGTATGTAGTGCCCAATGCTTACTGATAAGTCGATATACCAAAGTTTACAAGAGGATCCGAAGCATTCGATTTAGTTACAATTAATCAAGGAAAACAGCATCTGCATTTGTTGATTTGGAACGGCGAACGTGCGTTACTAGCACAGTTGTATTTACCAATAGTTAGATAGGTAAAGTAAGAAGCTATTCGTAGTTTTTAGATTCAGAAGCCATACGTAGAGCCCGCTTTTCCTAGATATTCTAGGTAGATTTAGATTAAAATATATCTGATTTAAAAACTGTTTAGGCATAAATTCTGTCATTATGAGCGTCTTTTTTTTTTATTTTCCAATTAAGGGCAACAAGAACAAACACACTTATTTGGTCCATCTAAATAGTCACTAATTCAAACATTGTTATATATGAAGAACGTAATTTATGCCAAAAATGTCACATGTTCTAGATGAAGGCGAGATTTTGTACAAAAACTGCACAACTGATCACGATATAAAGATTTAACACAATTAATAAAAAAAACGGTCATCGGTAAAAAATTGTTCGTTTGTTGTTTTCCTGCTGTACCGGTTCTTCCACAAGCATCCGTCCATTAACTAATGGTGCAATAATAAATAGAATGAGACACAATGACACCGCGTGCTAATATTAACATCGAACACGAATAATAACAAAGAACAAGGAAGTTGAAGAAATACGAAATGATTTATTATCTTATTTATCATTTGTACATACAACTGTATATATCGCCGAATAGCCTATTATATTCGATTATTCCTAGATAATGATATTGTAATTACTAGTAACATTATGACTTAATTTTTCGTTGATATGGCTGGCTGTAGATATTCAAAAAAAGTATACAACGCCTTCCTTTTTATTTGTGCCTTTCCTTTGCCATCGATGATTGTTTAGATTTTCACTTCAATTTTTATTTTGTATATTTTAATGATTTTTAACAGTATATTATAATGCCATTATCGTCGACTAAATGTAAATTATATTTATCCGTATAAATTCATAGAGTACACGCATTTATCAAACTATTCACATTCATACAAACGTTCACGCGCAAACTGGAGACCATGTTCTTTCATTTGTCCTTCCATATTTTTTTTTTTGCTATAGTTGAAGTACCCAATATATACCCTTTCAAAAAAATATTTACCCCAATCTTGCCACCAAAAAAGCTCATCAAAAAAGCTCCCATTAATCGTCGTAACCAATCATCGTCATTAGGTCCATAACCTACACTAACAGCAAGTAAGTTTATACATGAAGGTATCTGAAATGTGCGTTCTCTCTTGCAAACTTCGGTAGCAGGTGTTTGTGTAATGGCTGCGCGTAAGAAACTGGTTTTGATGGGCCAAATGTACCTTTTTTGTAGTAAATTAAGTGTTTGTTGCTAGCATGAAGTTAGCTTACTTATTTCAACGAACGCTAAATATACATGAAATTTCTATTTTTTTTAATAGCCTCTGGTTCTCTGGCGTTCTTTAGTTTCGCAGAGTTGTCAAAGTGTTTCAACTATTCCAAACAGTCAAATCAACAACCGACTCTGTATACGATATGCTGTTTCAGCTAATATTACCACCTGCTACTGTGGTTGATTCAAAAGCATTCGCATTGGTAACAATTGAAAAAAATCTATCGTCCGGTTTTTCAAAGTAACTTACCGACTATGCTGGTTTTACATTAGCCACGTTACTTTTGCGGTCAGTTTCAACATTAACGAGGTCACAAATGCCGCGGGTTTTACATTCAGACATCACATAATCATCTTTTTCACGCAATGTTCACATTACACTCTATTAAAATCACAGGCCCAAACGCAGAAATATACCTTCTATTGATTTAAATCTAGATATTCTAGAGAGCAGTCTACGGCAATCTACGTTAGAACATTTTACACATCAGTCATGTATTCGCGGTTTATTATACACAAACCGTAAACCACAACAGTTCATTATATATATATATATATATATATATATATATATATATATAGATGGCTAGTTAGACTAGCAGAACAGATGCCCGGTTTGCAACAATAGAGATTAATAATAGTAACCGCAACAACCTTTGTAATGGCAATAAATATTAGATACCTAAGTATGTATAAATATTGTATAAAGATGCCCAGTTGAATGCCTTTCGTATATCATCGATCTTCCTGTTTAGTGTCTCGTTAATACGTTGCTTTTAGCAGGCTTTAACCTCCGGTACTCAAGTCACTCACAAAGGTTAAGGACCCTCCTGAGTGAACGCCATTATGTTTACGCAGGTGTGATTATGCGACTTTTGACGTCCGCTCTCCTTATATGGACAGCGGTGATATTTAACTAAATTCCTAGAGTCCACAAATCGAATGACTGTTCGTGACATCGATTTTGTTTTACCCCCTGTTACCATAATAAATTAGAGATCTCGTGTTCTTTCTTTAAGCGACATATCTGCCGTTTACACGTTCTTAGTCAAGGTTCTACTAGTATATGAATCAAAGCTTGCTGTGAAGACCTTTTTTGCTTGCTCGCCGAACCTGGTAAGCGTAGCTGCTACTAAAAGTAATACCAATGAATGGACAGCGTCAACACCAGGAAAAAGGTTTGTCGCTAAATACATCTGAATAAGCTTGCCTATCTGTACACGGAGTTATAGAAAAGGCCTTTTTCCCTATCCTGGAAATACTGCTGAAGAGACCAAATTGTCAAGCAGCAGTACGTTGCAGCATATTCATTATAACAACAACACTAGTAGCACAAGTAATGAGAGTAGATTATTGAAAGCAACTTTTAAATCCCAACTATTAAACACAAGCTCGACTTTGTCAACAACACCCCTCAGGTCTGAGATACCAAACACGTGACACTGACAGGCTGGGTTCTCTTACTCAACGCAAAGCAAACTCACTGTTCTCACACATCAACAATGCCTGTACTAATAGAAAAAGATCCGAAAAAAGAACCCGTATTTATCGTTGCTTTACTGCAGTCAGGTAGCATAATTGCATAAGCTTAACTTATCGGCTTATTCGCGATAACCAGTTAGCCACAAGTAAGCTTCTTTTCGTGTTGTTCACACACACACACGAGTCCGGGTTGAGATTTGAGCTTCTCTCAATGCAGTCGCTTTTTAAATGAGATTCCCTTGGGAAACCGGAAATGGTCTAGCTTAACGCGTTATGCTGAGTTCTAATCGCTTATTTTTCTTCTGTACAAAATAGGACTATAGAAAAATTGCTGATGCCACTATGTGTTTCGTGTGAGAAACGGATGCGAGAGCGCGTGCTCGGCACTGATCCTCGTGTACGGGTTGGGATCAAGAAGCTTATAAAGGAGATCGAACGCGCTATTAGGCACCGTGAACCACGTCGGATGAAGGGTCCCTGCACGTTGCGCGGGGTTATCTAAGCCTCTAAGTGTCAGACAGAGTGTGGCTAAGTCCATCGGAGACTTTCGTGTAGTTGTCGTTAACTTTTTACCTGATTATAACAAACAAACAACGAACAGGAAAGACAATTACGAAGGAAACATACAAACTGTATGTCAAATTTTTAGAAAAATAAAACGTAGTCTTTTGTGATTTCTGCAGAAGAAATTTGGTGGCTCGTCGACTACGGCACTGAAATGTTTGATAGGCTAAATTTCTTATTTATCGTTTTGGCATTGAAAGAAGCAATAGTAATATGTAGAATATGCTTTAAGTCACGCATCGGTTCCTACCAATAGCCTCGGCAGCTGCCTCAACCTTCTCTGAGCCAAGCAGGGTGATGACCTCGGCCAAAGCACTTAGATCGTCCTGGGCGCGGAAGAAGGGGTACCGACCAGATAACAACGAAAGATAGATGACAGCGGCGGACCATACATCGATAGCAGTTCCTTGATGACGAAATTTCATAAGAACTTCGGGCGCACGGTATCCAGGAGTACCGGCACGCGGCGCCACCTCCGCCGGTCGAGACAGACAAATGTTGCACACCTAGGATTAATTACAATAATAGCTATGTTCATATTGAATTGAATGATGCTTACTATCTGTTCAATTAGTTTTCGAACCTACTCACTCAATTGGATATACAAGTAGTGCAGCTCGTTCGAAACGTAGCGTATTCATTTGATAAGGAAATAATCTATGGGCAATGATCCGCATTTCATTCAACATAGTCACTAAGAAGCAATCATAAGCAAGTCAAATGAAAAAAATTATAGCGAACTGGAACGGAGCGGTGATAACTCTAAGCTGCAGTGTGGGAGCTCACCTCCGATCTTCCAAAGCAAAGACACCTTTTCGTTGACAAATGGGGCTCTGATCTTCTTCTTTCAAGCTTTTGATTAGCAACCGGCATCTGTGGAGTTGCTCCTAATCTAGCGCCTGTTCCTAATGGGATACCCGTCCCAACGCCTCCCGATTGCTGCAGGTACGTCATAGCTGTGGCGCTTCCCGGAACCAATCCATTTGAGACTCGTAAGGCTGGTGAAGCTGCTTGCATGAGACACAACCGTTTGCTTTTGTTCTCCTGCAAATGTAACTGAGTGCCATTAAAGTGAAATTTTTTACACAATTCAAATATGGAAACAGTGACTCGCTGAATAATTAATAATAATTAATATGACAAACTATTCAAACCTTATATGTTTTTTTGCTCTGTACGTGCACTAAAAATATTTTATAGCTTACCATGTGGTTTTCTTGGTCATTTCGAACCCGTTTTTTGCCAGCAGTAACGGTTTGTGAAACCACTGGCGGTGAAAGGCACTTAGCATCATTTTCGAGCTTTTCCGCCAAACCAAAATCCACAAGGCAGTACCTGGAAATAGGAGCATAGTTGTAACAATACGAAGTAAAAGCGACATTACAACAAACGTTACTAAAGAGTGCTCGCATATCACATATGATTGTACAAGCTCTGAGGCTATGAACGTATTTACCTAAAAATTTCATAAACACAGAACTGTGCATATACTGGTATCAAGCTGACCTCAAAGTACCTATTTATAATCAGGCCCAGTAAACTGTAAAGTGAGTCCTAGGAGTTTATATCTTTTGTATCCTAATCTGTGCATTTCAATGTCACTCAGTCACCACCACATTTAATCAGAATCGATAATAATTAGCCGATTATAGATATACACTCTGTTGGAGACAACAAAAAATGGTATTCTAAAAAGGTTCTATTAGCACAAAGGATGAATTAAGTTTTAAGAGTACATCACTCCTTGTTGATTAACAAAATTTAGAACTCGTCTTTACCTCTGGCCTATTCTTAGTTGATATTAACTTACATTTTCTGTTGTCGGTTGAATAGGAAGTTACTAGGTTTAATGTCCCGATGAACTACTTTGAATGCATGCACCCGTGCCAAAGCTATAAGGAGATTGCGCATATAGTCTTGAACCTCGTCAACGCTTAGCTGACGAACGTAGTCCTAAAAGCAATAAATACGAAAGAAGATTTCTACAGAACTTCAATGTGTCCTAATGCTGTGTACAAGCTTAGAGAGGACATTTCGTAAAATCATTATCTAAGCTGCAGCAGAAAATATAGTCTAAACAGTATTGAGACAAATAACATATTTTTCACAGATCCTGTTAACTATGCTTAGAACTTGTGCATAATATATAGCAGTTTGCCAATATTGATAAGAGTATGCAGAACACGTACCTCCAGCTAACCTATGTCGACATATTACCACACCAACAGGTAACTTAAAGCACTGCAACTAACTAGGTATTGTTCGTCTAGCTAAGAAAAAAAAATTGATTGAAAGAAACTTTATAATTCATTAAGTATATAGGGAACACAGAGAAATATGATTTTAATTCCAACACTTCAGTTCTAAACAAGTTAAACAACTTACGGCAAAACGGTCGTGTGGAAAGTAAGGCATGACAATGGCAACGTGACCTTTATGAAGAAAACAGGTTTTCAATTGTACTACGTTTGCTTCGCCTCTGGAAGTATCGAACAGGGCACAAAAAGCAGCACGGGAGTGATAGTAAAAAAAAGGCTGAAACAACTCAAAAATATTTTTATAAACAATAGCGACGTGATAACCCATTTGAAAGCACTCAGAATAATATAGCTTGATTTCTAGAAATAGCTGAAAAAATATAACTTGAAGGAAATCAAGTGTGTAGTCGTAAACTGTGTTAAAATAAAACGCTTAATAAACTTGTCGAAATATATAGTAGTCATTAACTACACACACCCTATGTCGTTCAGGTACTTGAGCTCTTTCATAATGCGACTAGGATGTGATGTTGGTATAATGTACTTAAGCGCGAAGCACTCGTCGGGTCGAGCCTTCAGTCGAGCTTTATATACATAGGAAAATGTGCCTTCTCCAATCCGGCCTTGAAGATCCATCAGCTGATGCACCTGTCATAATATCAAAAAGTAACAACTTAGTAAACGCTCACTGAATTATCAAGTTTAACTCTCACCCGATGCATACAACAATATATTTCATAACCTAAGCCGTTTATATTTTATATGGAACAAGTCACTGGGGCAACAACTTTCAATATTCTAAATGGATATGTCGTGTCAGAAAGTCGAGCGAGCTTCTTGAAGCCAAATACATCGCCGTCCAGGCATCGTTTGGCGTTTTTCGTGTGAATGTATAATATGAGTTGTTAAAATTTGCGGTTATAATTTACTGTTCCTTAATAAAATGAGTTTGTCCCAGCAGCCTAGTGCCAAAACCTAGTGAAAACTGTTTTTTTGTACACAACATAGTTGCGCACTTAAGCTTTGTTACAATTTCAGGATAATATACAGAATTGCCATATTAGTGCTACGCACTCAAATGCATAGCAGTCAAGATATCAATCGAATGAGCGTAATAGTCACCAAAAAACGTTAGGTTTTCGGTCATATTTAACGTCGCAGTTTATATACCTGAGGAATATATTGTTGCAGCCGTAGAGCATCTTCATCTTTTTCAGGATTAGATTCTTGGGTGCTATAGAGAAAATACAGAATAATTTATTTAGTTCACTATTTTGATTTTAGAACCTTAAAACTGAATCCGTGCTTAACTGTTGTTTAATAAATGAGACGAATTATAAATTGTAAATTAACTGTTTATATATTGTTCGGCTTTGGAAGAGATGTTGCATTCCTTAGTTCGCCTCAGCGAATCATTGCGTTCACAAAATTTACTCAACTCATGTTTATTGATGTAATAAGTTGTGAACACAACGTAAAAACCGACGTACCTTGTTAGCTGTGAAGTCGCTACTGAACCCCCAGTTCTCAGAAAATTGTTGGTGGTGACCTGCGAAAATGAGCCCGTCGATGTATTAGAGTTATGGCGCTTCAGCAAGCGTTGCCGCTGTGCTGGCGCCAATGGGGTGTTATCTGCCGGAAACGACGGAAAAGACGACAGACTCACTGAGGGAGTTCTTGGCAACGCCTAGAAGTAATCAGCGATAAAACAAGAAACATAAGTGATAAACTTACGGCAAACGAAATGTCAATTTCCAAGATCACTAAATATAAATGGTTCTTTTCTGAGTGTGCATCAAGAGGCTATTTACCACGTGTAGTAACATTCTCTATGCCATATAAGGTCGTGCACATTAAACGCATAGAGGGTATCTTAGTTTACAGCAACACCTGATTACTGCTATCACAGGTCGGTAATACTAGGTATCTTTTCAACAATCAAGTCTTAAATTCAGCCGTTAGAAATTTAGACGATCGTGGTTAGATAGGAATATGAATATGGCGGCACAGCTAAATAGTAAAAGCGCCGTTGTACCTTATACAAATATCAGTGGGTCTATAAAGTACTAAAATATTAGTTGGCAAAACGTCTAACTTTATTCATTCACTAGTAAAACATAGAAGGCCTTCACGAACGACTTGATGATGAACTGCTGAGATTCATGCTATGTGTTCTGACTCGCCCCCAGAATTAAAACAACTGCTTTCCAAATGAAACGAGCCAATTACAAGTGGCGTCCAGCGGAATCACTAGACGCAGTTTCGTAGTTGCGTATGTAATGCCAAAATTGAACTTAAGCTCGACAGGTGAATGGCCAAAGGCTAAATGTACTGTTAGCTAATATAATTCTGTTGGCCAACAATTGAACTATTTGAATACGGAAAGATTTAAAATCGGTATTTTGTCACAAAGCCGAGAAAAATTTGTTACAATGATCATACAATAGATATTTAACTAAGCCATGAATTTCAAGAGATAAATTATTTTCAACAATATCTGTATTATTAGTAGAAGTTGCATTCTAATAATTTCGCCGCGTAGGTTCCGCGCAACTTTTGTGATTATCAGGCTACAGTCAATGTGCTGATACGGCCTTACTCCACTGCCTGTTAATTTTTTTGTCTAACCACAGACATTAAAGCAAAATATACAAAAACTTACTATCGCTTTTGTATCTACTATTATCCTACTTTTCTAGATTGGCGTTTTAACATATTTGTAGTATTTTCGTCGACAACATCGCATTATATATGCTGTATCTACAGTATGATAATCTTAAGCGTCTCTAAAATCCTAATTAGAGCAGTATGAGCCACATATATTGTTCAAGTTAACAGATTCATTATGGCTAAATGAACTGTTCGGAATCGGCATCACTTGCATGGAAAAAGACTTGTAAACCTCAGTGTATATTTGCACACAACAATATAGTGTAGTATGGCAAAGTAAAATGTTATTACTACATAAAAGTCTCAGATTTGAACCAAAATTCAGTACTTTATGATTACTCACTAACGTGCAATCTTTCATCTTGACTTAGCGGCAACAACTAAAAAACAAGTTCTTCGACTGAATAAAATTTTTTATTGAATCAAACAACTCCAGACAAAGTTTACACGAATCGATAGTTTAGTGCCTCAGCTCATACGTACCATGCTCCCAGATGCGGCCAGCTCCAATAACTGAGAAAACTTCCGTAAAAAAACTTCAACTTCGCGATCTCATGGCGTGCCCCTCCTGTTTTCCGCGTTGTTTTGGTCTTAAATTTCGGGCGTACATTGCTCGCTAATGCCCGGATCCCCGAACGACCGGAATGGGTCAAGTTGTTCGATATCTAGCCTTGCCCGCTCACAGCTGTACCGGTTCCTCCACACGCGATGATGTTAGAAAAGACGGCGGCCTTGTGACACTGCAAAAATGCTCGACTCATGTCTCTGCGCTCTAAAAAAAAACCTGACCTGAATATGGTGTTGCAACAAGATGTCAGTTTTTTTCTTACTGGCTTTATAATCACCATGCTCTTTGATTTGCTCCGTTTTTTGTCATCAGATCCCCCAAGAAGTCTAGTCTGTAGAGAGAGTCGGGGAAATAAAAAAAGTATTACAGGTCATTCACTTGTGCTTCAATAGTGTGCGTGATCGTAGTTGTAACTCGTCGATTGTAGTTTTAAATTAATTTGGGGTATACGCGGGCGGTATGGATGTGTGATATGACAAATGAAAAGGAGCGGGTGTTAGGGATAAATCAGCTGTTCATTGTTAGCTGCGCTGGATTGCAAATTTAGTTTATGCCAGTTCATGACGCGTGTGACCACCACCTCTCGCTTGGCAAAACAAACCCTCTCGTAAGCCAACACAACTGCTGTATACGACACCCTCACTTATCAACCCTCTTTGCTGACTCTTACGGACGCTGCTGTGTTATCGAGTAGGTCCCGAAGCGGTAAGTCGAGTCTTTATTAAGTCTCAATACTTATTTGTTATCATGTGTATCAGGCTGGTTGATATCAGATTCATTATGCGGCTGCTTTTGAGCGCGATACATGATAACGTGTTGCTCCGCTCGCCGCCGACATCATTGTTTAACAATTTCATGCTTAAATCATCTTGTCTTGCGATTGGCGTTTCGACTCATTCAAATGCCTTTTTATCAACTCCGCTAGACTGGCCCCCAGCTGAACCGCGCTAGCTGTCTGTGTGCATGGTCTGTGCGCGCCCTCTATCGGCTCGGGGAGATCACGTGATGTATTTGGTGGTGGCGAGGGCGACGCGCTGTCACAGCGTCTCTGTTCACACAGGAACTTGTCTTGACATCAGTGAAACAGTCACTTTGATCGGGAAGAGCGACTGATTAGCTCTTGTTCAGCTAGGAAGCCAGGTAGCTGCTGTAGCTCCCCGCGGTTCCTCCGTCTTTGTTTGCTTGTTTGTAAGTCAAAGCTAGTCGAATTTGAGGTTCCTGAGCAAAAGCGAACGTCACACAGCGTTCAATCAGGAAAAATGATTGCCCAGTCCAGGCTTATACTACGTCTCTTCAAGAATGTGGGACAACAGATTCGCGATCAGCATGACAACGCCTCCCGAGTCACGACTTTCCATTACCTTCGTAATTTGCCCCAGCCGAGCGACAAGTGTATCGCTACATATGTGTGGATCGACGGGACGGGTGAGAATATGCGAAACAAAGCTCGCACACTGAATTTCATTCCTACCCGTGTCGACCAACTGCCCGAGTGGAATTACGATGGTTCGTCGACATACCAGGCGCGCGGTAGCAACTCGGATACGTTCATGCGTCCCGTGGCGATGTACGATGATCCCACTCTTCCCGGAGGTAAGAACAAGCTCGTGCTGTGTGATACGTACCTACCCGATGGCAAGCCGACTCCCACGAATCACCGTAATTCTTGCGCAGAGTCTATGAACAAGATCAGGGATCAGGATCCGTGGTTTGGCGTGGAGCAAGAGTACACTTTCTTGGATCTTTATGGTCGCCCGTATGGCTGGCCAAAAGGCGGCTACCCCGCCCCCCAGGGCCCATACTACTGTGGTGTGGGCTGCGGCAAGGTAACGGCTCGTGACGTTGTCAACGTTCACTATCGCGCGTGCCTGCATGCAGGTATTAACATTTCTGGCACAAACGCTGAAGTGATGCTTTCGCAATGGGAGTATCAGGTTATGTCAAAAGGAGTGTCGGCTTCCGATGAACTTTGGATGTCGCGCTTCCTGCTACAGCGTATCGCTGAGGACTACGGTGTCTGTGTGACGTTCGACCCGAAGCCGATGCCAGGTGATTGGAACGGCGCTGGAGCTCATGTTAATTTTTCAGTAAGCTCAATGCGGAAAGAAGGGGGAATGAAAGTTATTAAGGAGGCGATTGAAAAGTTGTCGAAACGCCACAACACGCACATCACGAACTACGATGCTAAACATGGCAAGGACAATGAAAGGCGACTGACTGGGGCCCATGAGACGTCTTCCGTTCACGAATTTTCGTGGGGCATCGCCGATCGTGGCTGTTCAATTCGTATTCCGCGCGCGTGCGCTGAAGCAAACAAGGGCTATTTTGAGGACCGCCGGCCTGCATCAAATATGGACCCATATGTGGTCACTGATCTTCTGGTTAGAACCTGTGTCCTCAACGAGACCGATTAAAATGTAACTATGTAAGCGAAAAGACGATGTGAAAGTTAAGATATAGCTGGCGTCTAGCTGACACCCTTGAAGGGACGACGTTCTGACTGTGTCATATCTACTTCAGTAGAGAAATACTGATTTCTTTTTTCTAAACACAGCATTCTGCCAATATAATTGTTTGCAACTATATTGCCGATCATTAAGGGAAAAATACAACTAGTATATAGAATTATCCTAATAGGTTGTTCACTCAGATCAGCTTTGACGAAACTTCCCACTGTTTATTATTATTATTATTGGCTGAATGGATATGACTGTGGAACCTCACGTCTTTCTGAAACGAGTGTCTTATAAGTGTTGCCTCTACGGTGTCTTAACAAACGGTAGTAGATCATAGCATAGAACGGAAACTAGACTTAACTAGTACTTAGATTTTCACTGTTGTACTTACCATATATATATAAACATATATATATATATATATTACGGTGCATAATCCATCATATAGACTCGTGTAGGTTCAACATTTTACCATAACATACATCGAGAGCAATGAAACATTGATGAATTACATCGTAAAATGACAAAGTCTAACCGAGAGGTTAGGTGGATAATCTGAGAGGGTGGATTGGAGAAGCCACTAATGCGTACGAAATAACATACGAATGCGTAACTTTTACGTGCTTTCCGGTAATGTATATATAACAATAATGCATATAAAAACTTAGGCTAATCGTTCCTTTTGTAGGTTTATCATGACACTTCGGAAAGAACAACTAAATGGTAGCTAGAGAGCGTTCTTATGTTGCGTATTATTATTACAAAAAGATGTCAACAAAAAAAGAAAATAAAAGAATTAGAAGAAGAACCAGCTACCATAAAAACGACAATAAAAGCCACAAGTTCATCACGAAAACGACAAACTATGTTAATATATATTTATATTATAATGTTTTTCAAATTGACTGTGATGATCACACTGATTGCCGTATAAATTTTTAGCTCCCTAGACTAAAGTAGTGTTAGGTTCTTCTATCAGGATATAAAATTACTGCAACCACAACAATGAAAACGCATAGAGGAAAAGGATTAAGGTGAGAGCGAAAGAGGAAAAGCTATATAGATTATGGTGAAGCTGATGAAAAAGAAAAGCATATATACATGCATGAGTCAAAGAAAGGTCGTACCGATAAACTCGATATCATTGTAAATAAACCAATCGAAGAGAAGCTTGCTCTCGTCATGTAAAGCTGGCGGGGAGTCTTAAATTTTTGCTTCAGGCTAACCCCGTTATTTCCAAAAAAAAATTTAGTTATATTTCGTAACTCTTTCGTATTCAGAGAAAGAGTTATTTGCGAAACCATGGTTTGGTGCAAAGCTCTTACGGTATTTTCCGTTACGATGAATACTGAAGCAACGATACGTAAGAAGTGCGTAGAGAATATATTCGTAAGCGTAACTCGATTATATGGGTCGTGGCTTTGTAACAAAGTTGAATATTAAACGGCACTGATAAATTCAGCTCTGATTATGTGCAATCCAGCATTGCTAATATTTAATAAGCAGCGCCAAATATCAGCAGTAGGTGGGCTGTTGTGCTCTAAGATTGAAAATGGGAATAGAAGAACCGATATGCACGTTCTCTGGCATACGAAGAGTGCGAATTTAGGAGACGCAAGTAGAATCAATGTCTCGGAGAAAAAAAGTGGCAAAAGAATGAACTTTTTGCGATAATTTTTGGTGGCTTTTCAGGTACAGATGATGACCAATTTTTATTTTCTGGAGTTTTTTTTTTGTTGAGCTGCCTATTATGGGGTCTTATTCGAGATCTTTGTTTCTGGTAAATTTGTGATTTCAGTTTGTCTTAATAATTTCTCGAAGTTCGATCTTAAATTCCATGTTTGGCCGCAGCGATTTAATAGTATGAGCCTAGTTGATTCTAACAGCATCTTTTAGGTCAATCTTTCACTTAAAATTCAGTGTTTTGTGTATAGCAATGTTTATTTATGGGAACGTGTTCCCAAATGTCTCTTCAGCCTACTGAAGAATGGCCCAACGCCTAGTATCGGACGTAAAACTCGAAATATATATTTGGCTTGTCTTACTGGTATAGCATTAGACAGCATAGCAGCAGCAGCAGCAGCAGCAGCAGCAGCAGCGGCGTTCCGCGAAGAATCAGAAATTAAACTCAAGTACTAAATTGCAGATTGCCGTTTTGCAAATACTAGGGCAATTCAAGTCAGAGTACCCTGTATAATTGCTTGACAGATACCCTCAATGTCTTTCAGTTAATACAGTTAATTAAGAATTGTGATTCTAGATTGCAGCCGAAGTAGTATACATTTTACATCATTCATTTCGAAATAACATTTATTTGTTGTGATACATGTACCGTTATACTGCCCGAAATCGAAGAAGTTCTGAAATCATTTATAGCTTTATAAAACATTGCATGGTGCCTATTACAGAGCATATTTTTCTTACCCTTAATAGATCAAGTCGCGCCAGCGCATTTGGTTTTCGTTCCCTTATAAGCCATCGTATTTACGGCCTTGGGCGACGGAGAGATGCATGCAGTGAATGCTCTTCTTATTATTGCAAGTAGTCGAATATTAATGTGCATAGGTAATATAGGTAGTTAATGGTTTGTTTGCTCATTAAAACCGAGCTGTTTTCAACTAATGTTCTAGTTAAAGTGAGTAAATAGGTATTTTACCCACTTTAGTACCAACTCGGTTCTTGTTTGCTAATCGGAAGCAACATTCGAACTTGAATGTCCGTAACGTTTATCGTAGAAGTGAACTTCTTTTTGAACTGGCCATTATTAAACGTACGTTTATTATAGTTATTAGCTAATGAGAACAGTTGCCAATACATAAGCGGCATCACATTATGATTTATTTATTTGAAGAAAGATTATCAAGTGCCTATGTCAGGAAGGCCTTTTCATTGCGTTGCCTTTATTTAAGTTGACTCATACTTAATCAATAGCAGTTGGACATTTTTTTCTGTGAGCACAAAGGTCCAACTCAAAAAAAATCTAAATCGTTATTATGGTGCCCAAATCCAGTACATACTTCGTGTAAGTATGAGTAGCAGGTACTACTAGTATCTTGACATATCTAGTTACATCAAAAGATCTGTATTCGCATGTATACCAAGACATATTAATACGCTATGTTAGCATAAGATATTAGTCTGAGTATGTGGCTTTCGGGTTTTACGTGGGTGGGCAACATCATGTGGGTTGCAGTGTTGATAGCCATGTTTAAGCACTATAGCAGGATCATAGGGCGCAGGGCAGATCCCTCCCATATCGCATATGCGCCTAAATAATTGAGTGAAAAAGCTTGAATTATCATTTTCTGAACCGTAGGTTACAAAAAAACTATGTTGGGGGAAAGACTTGGACGATATCGCCCCTTTTGTTGTGCTGCCTTTATCTAGTCTAGACTAGCTCGTACCGTATCGAAAACAAATTACAGCTCTATATGTAACAGCTTGAATGATGGCCAAGGCTGTTTCTGCGTATCGTGCTGACGGTTAGCTTGATTGCGTTATACGTCTCTATGTGATCCGATGGAGTGAGTACGTGCAGCAGATCCGATGTGTTAACTGTACTTAGGCTGAGCCGTCTGGTCACATACAGCCGCGCACGTTACGGTTTTTTCATATGCTGATTGTCCCAATTTACGACATATTTTGAAGGGCATACGGCAAGACCATACAAACACCAATAGATCTTTCATAAACAGTAAGACAAATATTATGAAACTAATTTGCGCTCTGCGCTCAGTTCTTAGATTTTTTGCTGTCGTTTCGGTGGTTCACATAAGTAGGAATTGAATTTGAGTCCGATTTTCCACAAAGCCAGTTTCTACAAAGTCGAATTACTCGCAAAATACAGAGAAGAATATGCATCCATACGTTGCATTTTATTGTTTGTATACAGGATCTCTCTTGTGGTTGCGGTTGTTGCGAGCTAACCGTCATGGATATGTTGAAGTGCTCGCTGTTGGGTCGCGTTATCGCGTGTTGACTTGAGGTTAGGCTCGTCCGTGGGGCCTACTGTCAAATAGGAACTAGATAACGAACTTGCGATCATGGACATGGCCTAGTAATTAACACATTGAGAACCAGTCAGTTGCTGTATCAAGCAACACTGGACGACGGGAAGGATGTCTGTTATCTGTGAAACAAAAAAGAATAACTCTAAAATAACAATACTTTGCACAGGTAACATATTAAAAAAAACACACAGGTGTTTTTTCTTCTGTTCTAATTTTCACTATAGAAGATGTAATGATTATCTGTAAGAAAATGTGTGTCTAAAATGTCTGCCGAAAATAATATTTCAATATGTCTATTTAGTTGTTTCGTTGTGCTTTTGGCAAATCATTCATATAATCAGCTTTGGTAACCCGCGGCGTCTCATGAGTTATTTACTTTTGGAATTTATTTACCGCGCATTACGTAGCTGGCTGGATGTTGCAGGGTCGTACTGCGTAATCTATTCTTAACAGCTGTGATTCCGGCATGAGCTGAGGAAGCCGGTTTCGCTTTAAGAGCTGACCCTGATATTGCCTGATAACGTTCTGCACTGTCGCTGATAGACAACACTGTAATGTTGTGTGCTGGCGTTCCTGGTACAGCTGATATGTGTAAACAGCGATATGAACAAACAACCACTTGTTGATAAAGCTGGGCAGATACGCGCCACTGCAGACAGAACTACGAAATAAAAGTGGAAGAAGGTTTCTATGAATGGGATGGACGAATGGTCGGTTGTTGTGTGGTTGACTCAAGGGAAGATGTAAAACAGAAGATCTTCTTTTGGAAGAGGAAAAGACTGGTTTCTCTGAAATCACTGTTTCGTTTGCCTTACTTGCAAGTTCTCAGCTTTCATTCCCTCTATGTGTCGCTTAAATAGAACGAATAGGCTGTGTGGAAAAAAGGCTCGGCCCACTTTAATCAACGAATCTGTATCGCACGTAGCCTTAGCGGATTTACACTATAGCCAGAGGTAAAAGAATCTTTGATGGTGGTGGGTTCGTCTGTTATATACAGGGTATCCAGGCTTGGCACAAACTATAAAAAGCCAACAGTCCTACAAGTTCGGAACGAACTTAAGTGAATTGTCTTCTGAAAAAATATATTCACTTAATGATGTGCATTTTGTAATGATGAAAGAAGAAGAAGATGATAAAAAATTGCGATATAATTTTGCAGGGCTGGTTTCGTTTTTAGCCAACAATTTCGTCTTCCAAAATAACACTTCGTGGCCTTTGTTGACCTATTTTCACATCCACGCACACTTTACAATCTATAAAGAAACAAAAATTCGCGCAAAGACACTATCAAGAGCATGGAAATTTGTTTAGCCTCAGACAGGGTTGTGCTTGTTGTGGCTGTATAGGGCGCTGAACGCCTTCTAGACAAGCTGCACGTTACTTGCTTGAAACACTGCCGCAGTGTATGGGCCTTTATTAGCATGTTATAATCTAGGCTGATGGCCGTTAAAATGAGAACATGTTTCGCTCGTGGATGGTCGACGACTAAGAGACAGACAGGGTTAAAACAACTAGTTCATTTGACTATAGGAAGACTATGAAGACCGTAGCTTTTATTGCACAGCGAACGAAGCCATGATAGCTGATTACCTGAGTCAGATTAGCTGACTCTCGTACCCCAACAGCGGTAAAATGTACCCCGAGCTCGGTCTATAGTTTACTACTATAGCCAAGAATCATTGCACTGCTTCTAAAGAGATTATCGACTTTGCTTAGATACAATCGGAAACAGGTAGAATCGGACTACCAAAAAATTTATTTGGCGTCGTTCGTGGTCGAGTTCGACTCCGCATGTTACGTTATTACGTTTGTGGCCACTCATCATACAGAGCGTATAGACACATACGCACGCAGTGTTAAGACTGCCAAGATATTATAACAGCCGTGTATATATGGAGCATTAGAAATAAGTAGGGCTTTAATCAGCTGCTGTATAGATGATCGCCTAATCTACTCTAGAATCATCAATTAATATCTACGTTTTCTTATGTTAGAGATTAGACCGGTTTCAGTATGTCAAGTAAGTAGCATAGGCTGTAAGGGCAAAATTCATTAGAAAGACCTATATAGACTGGCATTTAAAACTGTATTCAGAGAGTATTGCGCTTATACGGTTATAAGAAAGTTTTGATGAAGCGGTTAAGCTATAACGGTACGGGATGCTGCTGCAAGGGTCGCATTGACATAAGGAGATGGGCATTGGTTCACACAGCGTATCTTTATCCTCTGCAGTTATGAACGATGCTGAAAGTTGAAGTTGCGTTTTCAAAGCGTGAGAACATCTCGTTTCATGCCTATCAAACTGGTACTCACAGAACTAAATTATGTAATGCTGTACTTATAGGACTATTCAATGTGCGGTTCATCTATATTTAGCATGCCAGCTCTTATCTTGTGTTTATTGAAGTAAATGCATTGCTCTTTCTACGACAGAGCGAACCTAAACATTTTATGAAACAGCAGATAGCAATTATCCATTCATTTAGCTACACAATTATACAAACAACGAATTCTATCGGTTAATGCAGTGCATCTCAACTACTCCTATGTTGTTTCGTTAGAGTCGACTTTATAGCTGTTGGGTATAACAGACATCCACCCATTTACTGATTAATTTTTGTGACATAATATTGTAAACGTTGTTAAATAAAATACCTTACTTTCTTGCTGAGAAAAGCCTTTCTTTAGGAATAAACAATGTCGTGTTTGCAATGTAGTATAATAATTATTTCGAACTATGCACAAAAGCGATCCTATTTATTAGTATGCATTAGTACATTATGTGCTATGTTCAATATGGTGTTTGATGTACAAACTGTACGTATCGAAAATGGTGTGTATGTGTTATCTATACGGCCCGTGTAGCAGTCGTCTAATCGAGTAAGGCTATTACTTGACGCCACTTAGGCTGTTAGCAGTCACTAAGATGACGCACCAATTTTTCTACTGAGTCGCTATTTCGGCCTGAATAAGCGTATCAATACGTAGCAGAATACTGATCCTATAGGATGCTGCTAACTACTAATACGTAACTAAGGCTGCTTTTAGGACAGTGACGATGTCGCTTAACCGATGGCGTTAGTTTTCGCAAAGCGATTCGTTCATCAAAAAAGCGCAATTTGTTAAAAGACACACGACTGGGTTTAGAGACAACTACTTGTCACAGTGCATTTGCTTATGATGGACACTGTAGTTAATGATCTGTTCGATAATTTTTTAACCGTTGCTCTTACTGTGGGTTCTAGGTCTGTAAGGTAGTAGATATTATCGAACCTAAGGGCTCTTTAACGAAAAGCCATTTTGATGTGTGCGTTTGTACAGATATTTGACTGCACGTCAAGCCGAATACACGTATCCTCTTGGTCGTTTCCCGTGTTTGTAAATATAGCGGTTGTTGCGGCGTTGTTAAAACTGCTCAGTGAAACGATTTTCTGACAGCTTCCATAATCAGATAGTATTTTTCTGATATCCGAAGCTATTGACGCTTGTTTTATCAAGCGACCGACTTCTTAACGAAGATCATTTAAACAGCGTACTGCAGAGGCAGCTCGCTAATTTCGAATCTGACCTCTGATTCTTAATAAATTTCTTTCATTTTTTTTAATCTAAAGTCTAAGGACGTATTTGACGTTGAAATACATTTGGAAGATTCTCGTAATGGCGAAAGGGCATCATTGAAGTAAGTTATAAAAGGCTGTCCAAGGCGTATCAGCGTAACTGTTGTCATCAAAAGCAGTCTTTTTTCAGATGCAAGGTCACACGGCTATTGATGTGTCAGCATTTTCCATACATCGAAGACGCAGAAACGGTTTATCGCGTGGACGTCGCGTGGGTGTCATTAGAAACGAATGACGTAATGCGTCCATATTGACAATTTGTGCTAACCAATTTATCCATCTGATTGGGTATTTCACATTTAATCTAGAAGCTTATTCTGTTTACTAACAACTTGTTGACAAGAAGTTGACGTCCCGTAGTAGCCTAACAACTCTGAAACATATGAAGCTCATGCACTAGTTTTTTATTCGAAATTTTGACGCTTTGAGGTTACTAGAGACACCACCATAGGTCGAAAATGACAGATGGTTATTCACGCGTAAGCCACGTGTGGCGTTCTAGCTTTTCGTTGGCGAGTTAGCGGTCTGCCGTTTCTACTATCGATATGTGCAGTGCTGATGACCGTTTTCTAGAGGCACTCACGCGGACCTGTTTGTTCCTGTACGTCAGCGCAGTTTGTAAAGACTGCTCCGCCGACGGGGGAACTCCCGCTGCATAGCGGCTTTACATAGAACAAACGACGAAAGCAAATATAGTAGAAGATCAGAGTCTCGCCAAGATGCACACAAACGTTTGCAATAACTTCTAACATTTTTCCATTTTCACTATCCGTTCATAATAATTGTGACAGTATTATTCAGTCGAATGCGTTTCTAAGCAGTTATTCCCGAATACGATCGCTGTTGCAGGGCGGACATCAGGAAAACGGATCTTCACTATAATATTATACAATATAGAAACGTTCGTCGTTATTACGGCTGGCCTATGAATCAATTCTTCAAGCTTACGGGTCTTATTCTGAATGCGATATTATGATGTTTTTGTATCATTGTCAACTGTCTACAAACGTGGCACTAAGCTACCCTCAAATGAAATACAAATATATCCTCCGTTAAAAACAGTGGCGCCATCTATAATTTCGTACCTAATTCTTAATTTGCATTTTCAGTCTGTCACATCGACATTAGGTGTTGCCATGTGTTTCATATTATTATTATTACATTCGTTTTTGCTGGTGCGACCTTTTAGAGGCTGAATGGCCTTCGCTATCATTGACGGTATTGCCGTCAACGTAATTTTGGCTGGTACACGAGCGCCACACTTGACAACATTAGAAGCAACTACATATGCTTTCACGAGGCGGAAATCTATTTGTACTGTTTTGGCGAACTTGATATTGTATGTCGAGTAGAGCATTGTGACAGGGTCGGGACAGCTATTTGCCATTGTATACATGGTGTTTCTGCTCTAAAACTATCAAAAAAAGCTAAGCGGATCATATATATATATGATCCGCTTAGCTTAGGAATAGGGTCTGCGCAGATTTAGCTGGGGTATTGAAAATTTTCACGTACATTCGATAATAATAATATTTAAAAGGTAGCGTCTCTAATAGGCGGTATCATCTCTATTACATTTTTGCTATCCTTCTTTCAAGCATTTTGTTCCCCTTGGCCGCAATAAAAAGTTCTTCGAATTCTAACTCGTCATTTTATTGGCCAAATTATCGTAGTGAACCTATGACGAAAAAGAAGTCATCAGTTGAAAGATTTTTGAAGCGAAAGTTTTCTAAAGGTTTTTTGTATTGTACACCTCAGTTAAGAATACGTGTCATGATCGTAGTTTTAAAGAAGTTTTGAGGTTTAGCACTTTTGCTAAAATAGTTGAATTGTTCTAGCAGCCTAAGTTGCCAGCTAGGTATAACACATGTGGGATGCGAACATTTTAGTAACGCTGCATAGACAAGCTTAATAGAGCTTTTCGCAAGCGTTTATTAAACTCTTATGATCTTTTAGTGCTGGTTGTCGAGGCAAGCGCGGCGGCAGGACGAAACATTTAGGATAATAGTTCAAGGAAAATTATGGCATGTTCGAGAGTAATGAATTCATGCAATGTTCCTTTGCAGCAGGGTTGTCATACGACGGATTTCCGGCACGCAAAAACAAGGTCTATGTAAGTTTAGATCTCGAAGCAGGCGGGTCACCAACACATAGAATGCCGAAAGATCTGCCAGTACGCGTTAAAACCCCTCCGTCGGTGCGGATTCGTCGTGAGTCAGCTAGCTCAAATCTGGCGACGCACCAGGTGAGACGTGAGGTGAGGCATCATTTTCTGACATTTCCATAGCTTTGCAAAAATCTCAATAATACAGCTCAGACAAAGCACGTGAACTATTGCTATAGGTGTCCAAATTCCCATGATCATATTAAATATAGAATTTCGTATGATACTACTTAGATGTTTCGACAATCTAGTAGGTGGTTGAGCGAATGCACATATAATAAATGGATAGTATCTGGACACGGTACTAGTTAGAGAATATTAAGTTATTTTTGATGACTTCTGTCTCTTGCGGAAACAATGAACAGTATGTGGTAAACTTGTATTGACTATCGTAGTAAATTCCCTTCAGTCGATCAATCGGTCATTTTATTACAGTTGCCACGATCAGCTGATGTATGAGAGTGAGCCAATGGTATCTATGTAGGACCCTTACAACAGCTTAGGCAGGCACCAGTGTAGCAAAATCTTTAGTACAAGTGTACAAATTTACGTTCGTTTGTCCAGGCAAACTCGGAACGAAGTTTGCATTCGGTCATCAAAAGTGTTATGTTTGCCTTTGGCGACGTGAGAAACCCGCAGGATAATACAGCCGACACCGTCGAAAAAATCCTCCAGGATCAGATGCATCTCGCCTACAGGTATACAGTATAGCATTTGATCCCTAAGCCGATCTGAATTGAATTCTACTGTGTTGTCTTGCATATTACGAGAATACGACTATAAATAGTAATACCTAATCTTAATGCGTCCGCCATGTTAAGTTAACGAATGCTATCACTTGTTATAATGGTTTGCAGGAAGCGGTGACACATTATGGTTACAATTGCATTTGTCCTTCACCAGATAAACATTAGACTTTTCATTAGACGGCTGACTCCCAGCACGAAAAAGAAATGTATTTGCGCCGGCTCGCAAATCTGAACTGCCATTTGTTTGTCATAGATTTTTTTCTTGGGTACGTTTAGCAATATCATAGGAGCTCTTTTCTTTTGAGGTACTATATATAGAAATAATTGAATCCGTAGTAATGAACAGACATTGTAAAATTTGAACTCTAAGGAATCGTTAGCATGATAAGTCATATTTTCAAGCCTCCATCACGAAGCAAATTCAAACCAGGACAAGAGTTTAGTACTAAATATCCTATTATAAAATGCAAGGCTGAATTAGCCTTGCATTTTCAAATACGTAAAAGTGGATCAACCCGTATTAGAATGAGCTCTTCTCTGCTTTCTTGGCTATAAAGTAGCAATATCAATAACTAATAAAAGATATATATATATATATATATATGCCATTTAGACAAGGTCGGATGACGCGCAAATGCCATTTCGATTCGTGTTGCTGCCTGCCAGATTAGCAATAGATATCGTATCCTGACAGGCGAGGATCTATTAAAAGGCAAAGATGGCACATAAGACATTTTTCCTGCACTGGTCTACTTCGATAACTTGTACCCTTCAATCGAAAGATAGCTAAGTGTTTTGCAATTCTGAGTAAATTTACTAATACATCTTATTTTTCCAGTGCGACCGTAACGCAGCTAGTCCCTTTTGCTTTTCTCGAAAGAGATGCACACATTGTAGCGGTGCCTTGGGTCTATTGTAGCCTAGACACTATATTTCAGTCATGGTTTTTACTTTCGGTGTCTCAATGTCGGATTCGTTTTTCAAGAGAATATATTGGCGCGTACCGGTCAGATAAAGGGTGAAACATTAGATTAGCTTAATTTTCCACTAAATGATCTTATTTTATGTGAGAATCAACGATTAAGTCACTGTAAAATGTTATACTTCTATCGTGTAATGCTCTTACCTATTTATAGAATTATCTGCTGTTTTTTTGAAGATCATATGGAAGAGCGGAAGTCGATCGAAATCAAATAGTATACTGGGCTAAATTATTCTTAACGGAGAATAAATTCCAATCCTGTCTGTTATCGACTTCCTGTGCATGTAGTCATGGTGCCGTGAAAGTTCCTCCTTACCGTTGCAGAGTGTGTGGGCTTCAGTGCCTCTGTCTAGTGGTCAGATACAAGTGGATAGCCGTAACTGTCTCTATTATAACACACGATAGCACATAATACAACAAAGTGGTAATTTCTATAGTGAAAAATTCCGCTTTCCACCCAGTGTCAAGCAGGGCGTTCTAACGGGCGAATTCTAATAAATACATGTAGCCAGTCGGCAGCAATATTTGACCATAACCAGTACCTATGGGGTAAGAAAAATAGAGAGACAATGTTCGACCCTTGCATTGCATTAGTTGCCTACCCTTCAATTTCTGCATCTATCTTGTTCCCAAATATTGGCTGTCCGTATCGTAGACTTCGTCTACTTTCACCGAAGCGCTGACGCGATACCCAAACGACTGACATAACCGGCCTCTGTAGCAATGAATTACTTTTTCTGCACTACATCAATGTGGGTCGTTGTTTCGGTGTCGATTGAAACAATTACTAGCCCACAGAGCATTTATCTGAATGGTATGAGAATGGAACAATGTTTTGACCTTTTCACGGTGTCTACCGACACCTGGCGGCCATCGAGTTAACTGACTATTCTGCTTACGTTGATGCAACTGCTAAAGTTAGCTTCATTTGCCTTAATGCTCCTTTTTATCCAGGTTGGCCTGGGAGAACTGCCAGCAAAGAGGAACCTCCGTCGTCGAAGTACTCGACGTTGTGTTTTTATACCGTAGGGACATTCCTCTGCTCCATCGGCTTTACAGGTGAGCGGCACAGTCATTCTAGCCACCTGCAACACTCGTATGGCAACACATTATATTCTCTCGTCAAATGGGTACATAGAAGTAACATATCGTTAATTAATCGGTAGAGAGCGCGTCCTTGTTATTGCTGTTATTATATTAACAAAATTTGCTGTTACTTCTAGGCCTAACGATACTGTAGTGTTTGTATGTCTGACCGAAGCGCATTTAGATTTCTATTTTCTGCCTTCGCTCGACACACAGATGTACGCATTAGCAATTGAGCAAATTCGTTTACACGTCGTATTGTTGTGTTGAAGCTTTTATAAATGTCTTTGCAATCTGCGGGATTTTCTAGCAAAGGAACTTCGTGTAAGTCTAACCTAACAAGTCCAGTTTTACACAGTCACTCTTTCGCACCTCCTAGTCAAAAACAGTTAAATAGAGTTTGCTCGTGACAAGGTTCAGCACTTGATCATAACACACGTACTAGTATAAAAGAAGCAACGAGGTAGGTAATAAGCATTCATTCTTTCTTGTTGTCGATAGAACGTGCTGTCTTTTTTGTCGGGTTTCTTTCCCAAAACATGATGCAGATGAAGTATAGGTAGCGTCAGTAAGGGAAAGACAGGAGGCGTCCTCTAATGCGATTCCCTTCAACCTTGAGGTCAGCGGGCCAACTCTGATCTTCCTGGGTCTCCGTTTCTCCCGTGCGCACAAGTTGAGCCACTTTTATCGAGGAGGTGTATTCGAAAATGAGAAACCGGTCGAAAAATAATTTGCCTGTTCCTGTAGAGTGTACACTTGAAGTCATTCATTTCGCATACTTGTAGCGGCCCGCTTCCGGCTACTTCGAAACAATTGCGGGCCATGAAACAGAAATGGTAGAGAAGTCTCAATGCCTCACTGGGACAGCTCATTAGTTTTTGCTGGCTTTTATTAGTTTTTAGTGGCTATCTGGTGCCTTTAATAGTATCAATGTTGTAAAAATTTGCGTTAACATTTAGTCTTTTTCTTATATGTCGTAAAGGGGGCGTATTATGAAACTACCTTTCACATCAATTTTTTGCGTTCATGGAGCTCATCGATGACTGCATATAGACATAAATATCCGTTGCGATTGTCTAATACGATTTCCCGTGCTTTTTTCCCCCACAGCTCTTAAATCAGGTACATAGACGCTGAAGTAGAGAAGCATCTTGAGATGCTTGGAATAAGTGGTTCGTTCGAACGCTGGACTCGAGTCGAAATACATTACGTGACAGCACTGAGAATATTGATGGACTTTGTTCATTCGAATTGTTTACAATAGCTGCAGATCGGTGCTTCATCCCGGCCTGCAAATTAACTGACCATTAGATATCAGTGCTTGCTTGTTATCGTTCTTGTACATGCGACTGTACGAATGATGCTTTCTAGCGGTCTGCACGCCACTACAGTCAACGATACTTTTGTTTTTAGGCTCAACCTTCGATCGATTCTTATGGCACACAATAGCCACTTTGAATATATTTGGCTCTCGAGCACTTCTTTTATACATCGGCCACATATTTGTAAGCGGGGAATATATATTGCGGTTCTGAGCAGGGTCTCATTAAGTTTAGACCGAAGTTTGGGCATCCCTACTGTATACATGAGGAATAGTAAGTCGGAAGTGGTCGCGGGAAGACCCGATTGGTTGTGGCGCAACAATTCGTCGTCCGGTGGACCTGTGGATTGGAAGCAAGTGCTGAGTACTTGCGGTTTCTCACGGTCATCCCGCGACGACACTCTGTCTCCTATACTAATTCTGTTACGAATACAATTGTAACTCATGTTTAGGTTAGTGCTTCACAGAGAGTCTTGTTTTCGGATTAATCGTTTCTGTAGCTGTGCATTTTATGCTAAATCATATGACTATCCTTACGATGAGACAAAGGCAGCTATATATATATATATATATATATATATATATATATATATATATATATATATATATATATATATATATGCCTATGTGAAACGTGTTTGTCAACTGGCGGGTGAATTAGTGAGCTGAAGCTTTCGTGCATGCTGTCTGCGTGCTCGCAATCATTCAGTCTACTCGTTATAGACGATGTTCTATTGCAGCATACCTTCCCTTCGCGTAGGTAAGTTTTTGAGAGTGATTTCGCTCATCGTGTATAAATGCAAGATTTAGCCAGACAGTAGTTCGTGTAGATCGGGTTGGGGAACGACGTGTCAACGTCTGAAACTGAGTCGTGGTTGCGTCGAACAACGTCGAAAAGAGACCGGTAGAAATTGTTGACTCTTGATACCAATCGTTGAGGGGTATTGTTTCATTGGATTCCTTTGATCTTACTCACGGCCGGGTTAGCATGTCTCAGTGCATACCCGACAACTCTAAACGATCCCAAGTAGCTAAATATAGTCACCTAACGATATTGTTTGTCGGTCCTCAATTAGTGTCGGCATATGATCTACGATGTCAGCCGTGCCTGCAGGCTAACAGGAGTTGTGTGATGATGTTACAGACGACAAGTTCGCACAAGAAGGATCTTAGATTGATTCCAGGACATGATATTCCATCTTTTACCAAACCTGACAATTGCTTTACTTCGTCACATTTATTCTATCCGGATTATGTGCGATTGCAGCCTAACTCGCTTATATAGTTCATCGGTTACCCACGTATCTATATTCGATTGTCGAGGTTCACTACTAAGCATCTTTCTAGCCAAATGTCATTTTAATCGTATACCTCAAGTAATATCAGTTGAAACTGATGTCACTGGTTGGAAAAGCTGGCAATAGTAGATGTGCTAACATTGCTTAAATCTTCTATCCGTCTGTATTACCTTATAATGTCTTTTTAGTCCTGGAAATATGTACAATTCGATTCTGCTAAAGGCACAAATGCTACCGAAATCCGTTAAAAAATTGTGCTATTTGTTCTCGAAATGCGTTATCGGAAGAAACGAGTTAAAGATATATAAAAGTTATCTTGCTCTCGTTCTGGAAATTGCCATTTGAAAGGTGCCCTTTACAGCGGTCAGTCAGTTACGAAAAAAATGAATGAAATTATTGCAAAAAATGTTGACACGAGGAGAGCCGTAACATCGTTAGGGGCCAAATATTCCCCACAAAAGTTCCAAAAAGAAGCTCGACGCTGAGGCGACGCAGAAGGATCTTGTCGATAAAATTTCGTTCCGCAAAACCCATTTCTAAAGCGGGTGATCACGGACGCTGAAAAGACATCACACGAAAATAAAGACTTTGAGGATATGTGTTTGGTTTATTGGAAAACAACCGTGCACTACGAGCTGCTGCCGTCTAGCACAACGACTGATACGGGTCCCTATTACCAACCACAATTGACAACGTTACGACAAGCTACTGAAAAAGAACTAAAAAAAAAAACCACTAAAGGAACTAGTACCAGGCGAAGATTGAAAGGATGGGAAATTTGAGTCCATAAGCTCTATAGCACGGATCTTGCACCGTTTCATTATCATCTATTGCTAGCATTAAGAGAGCTTTTTTGCAGAATTTCCTTGATGGTGTTAGTTTAGTTTTAATCGAAGGATGTAAAAGCAACTTGTTTTCTCTAATAGACCTATAGGATAGCATGGAGACTAGACAAGTAGCTGTTCATTCTACTGTGTTCGTTCAACGAAAAACCTTATTTTTCCCGCGAGTATTTTTTTTTGCCAACGTTGAACCAGCACAGTTGCATACCGCTTGTTCCTTACACGATTACCATGGTAACGTACTGAAAGGGGGCCAGCCGGGCCACGCTGCCTCCTAACTACTGCGTGTGTATATTACATAACTATAATAAACGACCTTTGGCTACGGCGGTCAAATGGGCGTACGATGCTTTGTACCCAATTCAATTTGCAGCAACAACGAAATTATCACAAAAGATTTGAAAATTCATTTTACTGCGTACTCGCACATAGAAATATCATTACCCGCTAACGTTTCTCGACAATATGGTTTCGAGGCGTCGCAGTAAAGCGGTCAGAACTGCGAAAGCAGTAATGCAGCAAGACTTTTTGTTACTGTAACAAATGGCAACTGTCACCAAATGAGTGGCAAGTATTACCAATCTGCGCCTCGCAATTTTTTTTTGGCCTTTTCCTTGCACTCGTTCCCTAATTCTTACGAATATATCTTACTGTGCCTCCCTTCCTCAACATGTCGTCCACTCATTTCGCTAGTAAGGTACATATAAATCGCCAGTTATAATTAGCCTCGTCTGGTTGATTATACTTTATCTTCACTAATGTTTCGACAACTTGTAAATGGCCATTTTTCTGCTAGCGGTTCTATGTGATTTATGTCTATGAATGTACTGTCCGCATCTTTTCCAACCAATCATAAGGGGCCGATTGTCTCCCAGCTTTCGCCAGCGCATCCCGTTTCTCGTGCGACGTTTCCAATAAGGCTTCTTTGTTATACTGGATTCTGTCATCTCGACACTGCTACTCCTGCCTTTGCCCAAAGGGCGGTTTACGACCGTTTGCTTATCGACGCCTCAGAAGCTAGCGCGAATACTTAGTATCCCATACCGGTCACCGTCTTTGACAGGTAAACTTACGGCATCTTTGTTGCGGCTGTTAACTCATTGTTTTGGTCGTAAAATTGAGACGATGCCGATGACCCAGCTTGATACAATCTTAATACTTACAGCGAGGATGAATAGCGAAGAGGTGTGAATGATGAGTGCCTATGCTATCTGTAATTGCCCAAAGAGCTTTCACGCTTGTTTTTCTAATCTGTAACTTAAGCTTTAAATGTGTTTTTGTGTAGATTTTGCTTCATTCGTTATTAGTCTGCTTGTAATCAGTTCATCGCCATCGACGATTTGGGTCGACATAAATGATAATAAGGGTATAGTGGGCCATGAAAATGGGTAGTTTGCGCGGTTTGTTTTTAAGGTTTGCAGAATGACTTAAAAAAAAAAAAAGCATTACCTGGCATGTATTTTTATTTTACTTTAGAAATTTATATAGAAATAATTTAGTCGTCATAATCCATTGCCAAAAACTGTTCATTGCGCGGAGGTGCGCGGACCATCATAGCGGGGTGTCATGATCTAAAGTCACTGCTTCCTTACTCCATCGATGATTTTATTATTTGATATCCACAATACATATTAAAGTTCCTTTGAGGCGTGTCTCCTATAGCTAAGGTTCAACCTTTGTCCATCATATCATTTAAAGATGAAGTTTGATATTCATTGCACTCTGTGAGTCATGTTCGCCACGATGATATAGCATATTTACATGCATTCGATATAATGTAGGTTGAGTAAAAATTTAGTCTTCTAGGTGTCACCTGAACGCCTAGAATGATCCATCTAATACATAAAAAGATCGGTGACTGTAGATATTTTCCCGGCAAGCGATGATTTAAAGCTGTCGCTGCTTTTTTGATGGAAACTATTTATAGTTTATTATGGAATTTATTTTTGAGCTATAAAACTAGAATTATTTTATCTAGTTACTTTGGTTCCATTCATTTGTAAAACTATAAAAAAGCTGGGTTAACAATGATAATGCTCCCTGAGCAGCAGGTTGTAGGTGCTGCTCTTCTGACGCTGGTTTTACGATTGAGGAACATTAACGATGTTGAGAAAGCTGTCCTCAGAATAAAAACGTTGCTATATCATTTCGGACTTGCAGAAATCATAAGCATGTTTGTTCTTTTTACAAAAAAAAAAAACCGCTGTTCCGACAGAGTATTTGGCAGGGACCGCACGTGTCTGAGGTATTGAGTGAACTGTTTTCCGTTTATAGCATACAAAGCATATGCATCACTGAACTTGCATTCAAACCCTCTAAAGGTTTAGCTCTGTCGGAGGTTATTTTTCCAATTACTGGTACCTAACAATTTAGCTGCTACTCTTGAAGCCTCGTTCGTCCTTAACAATCTAGTACACACACCCTCAGTCGTCGTTATCGTTAGTCTGGAGCTCCCTTTCTTGCGAAAAACTTAATGATAGTATTCGAAAGAACTTATCAAACATCCGAATACGGCGTGACCTGGTGCAAGTAACAATGGTAACGCTCCTTTTACGAGGCAGTGATCGCGTTGTGAAGTGTCTTGTGCTATCTGTCATGCCCTTTAGCATGGTTAAATTAAGAATTTGAACGTTGTGATTGCTTTAGCTTTAGACTCAATGGTACTTTCGGAATGCCCGCAATGTTGACTATATTCGATTACCATCTTACTCTATCCTATTGAACTATGATTCTCTACTGTTCCCGACGTGATACACGCCTGTCTACCGTATAAACACTTACGAATAAACGTCAATTTCGGCCACGACAAATCATTCCATCGGGGCTCACACAAATCAAGAGTATGAGCAGTAGTCATCACATTTTCTACTTCTGTCATTCTTCCACTGTCAGAACAACACATACGGAAGACGTAGGACGTGGGATGAAAAGGCTATCATTGTGATAGAAGTGTCTTCACGTCAAGGTTTCGCCGTTACTAAATCCTACAAAAAAAAAAACACCACTAGGTCTAAGTAATTCGAAGGTAGGTCTCCATCTTGGGCCATAAGTTAGCGTTCTCAGCTGTCGGTCTCATGTTCAATTAGTACTGGACAGGTAGTGCTTCGACATGCTCTGGATATGGATTTACAGAAATAGGCGATTTTTTACTTGGGGAACGGGTCGCTGTTTTACGTTTGCTTAATAGAAGATGTTCATCAAATAATTCAAACATGAATTAACCATCAAGCTGATCTTTTGTTTATTATAGCTTTGGGATGGAAATAAGAAAAATGCACTAGACGCGAGTAGTAGTTAGCAAAAAAAAAAAAAAAACTTCACTATAGAATGGAAGCAATCATTGTTACAATTAGTCACTGGTAATTAATTATTGAACTTCTAATTCAAGCGTATAGCAAACCTGAATTTGTTGTGCCGACAATAAGAACTATCAAGTTAAGATATCAGTCTTTGAATTAGCAGCGTGGCACAGAGAAGTTAGTTCTTGGACCCATTTTCTTAACAACGAATTCTACTCTATCCGGCGCATATTAGGCACAATCATAAGTATTTTGCTTATTTACTTAAGTACTTTTGATTTGCAAACGATAACCAATCAGTGACTTATACAAATGCGTATTTTTATACCTTGCGCTTACATACGGTGGTCTACCATAACATAGATTTTTGAACTGTAAACAAGTAGGACGATCGTTACCTCTTCGTGCTCACCTCACCGTATAATCGTGTACAACAAACCTTTTGAAGTTGGGTCGACTCAACAGGCATGAAGAATTCTAAGACAGACAATTCGGCCGCAAACAATTCTTTGAGAACACATTGAGAATAGCAGTTGGTTGACCCTTGATTGACCATTAATTTACCCTTATGCCGGTTATTTACTCTGGCACAATTTAGGCAGGCTTTCTGTAAACAAATAAGACTAAACTCTCCCAATCTGGGATGTATATATTACTTCAGTACTGTAGTTACATCCGCAGTTCTTACATGTACAACTGTAGAACGCAGTTTCAAGTGATTCTGTATATATATATATATATATATATATATATATATATATATATTAGCTAGCCAGAGAACTTAACCTTGCAGCTTGGTCAGTCTTTTGGCTCCCACAGTTCGTCCTCTTCTCGTTGCCAGAAATCGTGGTCACGACGCGCGAGTACACGTGACGGTGCCTTTAGCTGTGAAGACATTAGTCGTTGAATTTTGTCAGCGCTTGGTCTTTCTCCAAACACTGCAGCTCTGCAGCTCTTCAGCTATCCGCAACCGCAGGATAATTTGGAAAGCATATAGACGACCTTCTTCAGTGACGCGTTTACCTTTCTGGCAAGCTTTGGTGGAATGCCGTTTCTCCTTTATTGGATACCAAACTCAGCTAAACAATGCCCATATCTTCTGGATCATGAGCAAGCAGGTCGTGTCGCTGTTCCTTTTCACTATGGTCAATGGTATCACATACAGTAATGCCTTCTGGCAGAGCCCCCTAGCGGTTGCGCGCCGTCACCCAACGCTGCTCGTGCTTTAGCAGTTCAGTACGTATTCGGTGTCTGCCATTCTAACCACGTTCAAGCTGGCGGCTGTCTATTCTTTGCAATATTCGCCAAAGAAATATATATTTCCGTATCAGGCGTTTTTATGAGGTTGATGTTGCCCATAATGAGTTACACACGCAAACTTTTAATGATTTCGGAATTGCGGCTGGCCTTATCTTCCGTTGCCTTAAGTCTTCGGTGCGCCATATGCCGCGTTAAGTCGAAGGTCACGAAGGTTAGGCAGGAAGTTTAGGATCTCTATGCATGTAGTTAAACTATAACAGTATATGATTCAGACTTGCAGTTGAGTTTTTCTTTAAAAAGCAACACACCCGTCTAACGCATTTTCAAATCTCCTTAAAATCATAAAAAGATTCATCGACATTTTCTGTTTTGAAGGAGCCTTTGCTTTCTTCCACGATTTCCAGATTTTTTCTACGTTTTGTGCATTTCAGTGAAAGGGGACTTCTAATTCCTTTGGGAGATGAGCCAATACCGTGTTTTTTTGAGGAACAGTGTTTGAAAAAAAAATACAACCATTGGCAAAACCGGCACGTGGCCGCTCTTACAGCAAAGTTAAACGACCAGCATTCACCCTTAATACGGATTCAATCAACGGTACTGATCTAAATTTGGCACCAAGATTGAGCTACTACACTCGTTTACAGTGCCACAAGCTAAGACTATTTTATGTAGATGCGACAAAGAATGCTTCGACGTTTCCTGCGAGATCTTAAAATTAATAAGATCAAACGTCAGCCTGAAAAACGTGATACACATACCTAGTCTTTTTCAGATGGCCAGGACAACTCACAATCCATTTTCGTTTTATATCCGAGGACACTAAAATATTCTTTGTTTAGAGATGAAGCGAATTAATGCATTGACGACCAGTAGCTTTATGCAACAGGACATATATATGTATAAAGCTTTACGAAAGTTTTGCTTATTTTAGACGGCTATCTACCCGTAGCCAGGTCCGTCAACTACAGCAACAACTTGGTGCAAAAATGGGAGCATCTGATGGGGAGAAAACCCTCCAGGAGCTTCGATATAGCTTCAGACTTATCGATGATCCCCGACTTAATGAGGTTCTTGAAGAGTCGTACATTGACGCGATATCACAGGTAAGGGGTCAGGGTATATTTTTTACGTGTGAATGCAAGTTTATGACAAACAAACAGCAGCATTTCGATTGTTAAGGCTTCTTTACTAAATAGTGTTTTCATGTATATATGAACGGTGGTGTTCGGCCACGCGTCAAACAACGTACCAAATAGGCATGACCTTATAATGGTAGACATTAAGTGTACATACATAAGCGGTACGTGCAAATGTTTACTTGCACGATGTCCCCATAAGCATTTTCCGGGCATAATTAATGTCGAATTTCTCCTATCGTAAGCAATGATCGTACGGTCATGTCGACACGAATGTGTGCCTAGTAGTGGTGGGAAAAATCGAATTGAACTACTTCCGTGAGTCCGATCAGCTTGCGAGTTTAAATTTTACTGTAGACTTTAGGGAATCGAAAGTCTTGTTTTTTTTTTTACTAATTTTTTACTAATCAGAGCATCCTGTCTGAGCACTTCGCACCTTTCTTGAGATGCGACCCCAGTCATACAACCGTAGCTTTAAAGGAATGTATTCTAGGTTTTAAAGGTATGTATGTATGTATGTAAATTTTGTAACGCTCCTGTGGTTTAGTTTCTCCATGGTAATTCTCGTACCAGTGAAGATGACTTCTACCTAGATATAATCTGGAATTTGTACGATGCAATGAAGTATCCTATTTATCGCATTATAACGAAGTATGAGTTATCGGCAAAATATTTAGTAGTATAGTTGAAATTAGTAGTAGATAGTAAATTTACATGTCCACATTTTTGACAGCCACTGGATATTGATCAAACACTCAGATTTTGTGTTTGTAGCTACAAAGAAGTTAGTGTTGCTTTGCATACCCTTGTTTTTGCTTATTGTTTACAAACGTATATTTAGACGATAATACGAACATACGTTTTTGAAAATCTGACTAAAATTTTTCGATGATGCAACCTTTGCAGTGCACATATACTTCGTCTTTAAACACCTTTAAGGCATACGATAATAACCAAAGCCGGCAGCAAAGGCATTGTTTAGATGTAGCTTTGTAATAAATAGTTTGACTTAACTCCAAAATACTGCATTTGAAACTTGTGAAATAAAAAAAAGCATGAGTCTTAAGCCAAGCCATACCTTATTCGTTTTCTGATATTTTCAAGTGTTTTCGGAAAATAATTTTTCAATTAAAAAATGATATTTTATGCTAAAACAGCAGTGTCTACATTATGGGCCGATAACTCTGCTGGCATTTTCCTCTTCTAGCTATTGTTGTAGGATAAATGGATAAATATTTTAATGTATGGTTCTGGTGCACCCAATGTGTACTGAGCATTTTCAAAGCAGAAGGTATTTAAATAAGCCAAATTAAGCTGGCACCTCTTTCTTTATACGACGATCATTTCTCAATAATTCGGCACCATCTATTGTGACTGGGTTATTTCTTTTTACGTAGTTCGTATTTGATCGATCTAAACATATTTCTTTGATGATTTGCAGGAACGGTTATGGCGAATGGATGTCCGCACTCGCGGTATGGATCGCCAGGAGTATCTGGAGTTTCACGCGGCTCGAGGGGTCTCATTCGGGACGTCGGGACCTGCGCGACGTGCCTTCCTCGAGTGGCTCTCCCAGAATGTTTTGTGGCAGTTAAGTCCCTCAGCCGGTGACGTTCTTGCATTCATTGCCTATGAGATCGTCGCCAAGCTAACTGAAAGCGCTGTAGCCATCCGAGATACCGCAAAAGCAATTAATGAGGTTGGTACAGAAATGAATAGGAATTGTTAAGATAGCTGTGGATTGGATAAAAAAAAATAAAGAGTAAAAAAAGTGTCACCGAATCAGTCAAAAAAGGCCGTGATTTTCCAGCATACGATTTATTTCTTAGGAATCAATTAGAGAAGTAAAGTAACTTAACTTTCCAAATTGAGGTAAAACAGCAATCTGATTTTATGGCATTCAATGGTAGTACGTATATACATATATTATAGGAGAAGATTTCGGGAATGAAGCTTTAGGGAAACCAAATCCCGTGTTTTTATCTATTGGTACCCATATCGGTAACTGCCTGCCGAGTTTTGCTCTGAATACGTTGCAAAGTTAGATCCATTCAAGTTCGAACGTTAACTTGGTGAAGGTTGTTCAACATCTCGAGCTTTTTGGTCGGGAGGCATGTTTTCCGATAGGATCGATGAGTTCATTATTTGTTTTTGTTGAAAGGTGTTAACGGTTTAAATACTGTTTTCAATACTTTTAATAATAATTGATGAGCGTAATATTAAGTAAAAATAACTGGAAAAAAATTAAGTGTACGACAACTGGTGAAAGCAAAGGGACAATTTATTGAAATAGCTAATAGAATTTAAAATGTGCATTCGTTTTTGTTTTAGGAGGAACTGCAAGAAGTGGGACGAGGTCGCCGGTATAATCCTGACTTCGTCTCTAACAACCCTCTGTTTAGGGGAAAATTCCGAGAAGATCCTGTACCTTCGGGTCAACTGGTGGACGGTCCAGCCATCCAGCCTAAAGACATTTACGAGGCTCTTCGAAGACTGCAGGCGTTTCGTGAACCGCCGCTCTTCGCTCATAACAAAGAAATGGCTGACTGTTTATGGCTTATATGAAGATGTTCTTAATGAACGACACCCGCTAAATACCTGAGATGGTCAAATTATTCATTCATTAACCGCTAATGTTCTACTGGCTACATGAACTATACCTAATATTATCTTGAAACGAATTGTGTATATTTAAGGGCTGAAGCGTGATTTTTTCTGAAGATGAACCTGTCATGCGCAGTTATGATGTAGCAGTGTCGAGAGTTCAAATCGGTTAACGCAGCAATGTATCACCGTATTTTTTATCTTACATGAAAACCTCTTTAAACCAATATACGGACGAACGTTCTTTGAGTTTTCTGAGTTCTTCGGAATACAGAGAAGGGATTGTGAAAAACAGTCTTGCTGCGGCCAGGTGACGGCGGCAGAAATATCAACGCAAGAAATTTGTGATCCCGAACTAGATTAGCTCCGATTGAAATTAATTGATGTCACAGCGAACTAGTTCCTAGGAAATGACATTGTCCTGTACAACCTATTCTTAACGCTATCCACACCGATGGACAACGTACATAATCCTGGCAGGACCCAATTTTAGTCTTTGTCCCAGCGAATACAAAGGATTTGCGTCACGATCACATACCAGTTAAATGTCCCTTCGATTCTACGCACGCATTGTAAGTCTTGGATTCTGTAAATGTCGATTGTAAGCAGGGTAAACAAGCCATAATCCCGTAGAGAATCAGCCATCAAAGTCGTGTTGAGGATTTGATTATTTCTACCGGGCACGCTCGTACCAGGTGCCGTGCTGGAGAACACTAACTTACTTTGTATGATCACCTGATGTGTGTTTTTAAGCATGATAACACGCAGGCGAGCGAGAATACCTCAGCTGCGCTTACGGCTGACGCGTCGACTGAGGTTCCACGAACGACAAAACTAATATCGCGATGACACTGTGCAGATATGATCTCCAAATAAAGACGTCCCTCGCAGCCGTTTGACGGTATAATGGAGCAGGAGATACGTTATTTGTTATTATTCGTTCTTGAGCTATTCATTGGTGAAGTACACGCGCAGCGACTGCCCATATTTTTGCACAATTACAACAACGCTTACGCACCATCTTTTCCGTTTCAATGACTTCTTCTTCGCCAGTTACTTGGCGAGTGTTTAGCAGCATCCGCTCTGGCAGGCTGGAAGGTCCCCATGTGGCCTAACGTCGAAGCACTTGATTAGAACTTGGAGAAGGCAAAGGTCAACTAAATACTTATACACATATAGGCTAATTGTAAAGGAGCACTTTCTTTGCGGTCGCTTGGTTGGGCGCGCAACTCCATTTTCCAAAAGAACCCATTTTGATTTCCTTCAATTGTGGACACAACTTCGATCTTGTGTCCACATCATCATTCATAATGATATGATGATTGTCTGAAAACTTTATCTCTAATATAGTTATGCGCAAACGTGGTATCAGCACAGAGCTAGTACCATGTATTACTAGTATTATGCTGTGAATTCATTGGTAACTTGTTGTATTTATGGAGTAATTATTACTGGGTTATAGTACGAACAACGGGCCTCAAGTCACAACGTCATAAACAAGCAAATGATGAGGCCGAAGCTGAGAACACACGGGCTATTGATGAGGACAGGGTTCTTTGTGGATGGAATTGAATAGGTAACGTTGGAACTTCGCTTTCGTCCTAATGACCAAATGTCTTGATTGGAGTCATTCCAAACGAAGCAGCATGAGACTTCGACTACTTAGAGGAGAGACTATTTTTGAATCAGATCACACACTCGCAGAATCCTTTACTTAAACATATATATCACATAAAAGGTTATATTATTACCATCGCAGATATGTTTAGTTTCTTGAATTGTTCTGCGTGCAGCATATTTCAAAATGTATTAAAAATCATTCGCATTCAATGTATGTGATTAAAAAAAAGGTATTATAAACATGATCCTCCTTTCTTGATACGCACTGTATTTATCCAAAGAGTGAGTTGAAGGAAAGTAGGAAAGGCTATTTCACCTACGGCTGTTTTGCTGGTAAATTGTAAAGTGGTTTAGAATAAATGACCGACGATTACCAGTTCCATGAAAACCGTATTCCTTTGTTCCTGAAGGACTAATAATACCTAATAAAAGCTCTCAGTTAAACTGGGAGATTGAGACCAGAAGCATACTTTTGCTATTTAAACACGCACCAATCAGCGTTTGTCGAAGGCGTCTGTAAACATGCTTTCGGTATAACACTCGACTTTTGCGTAGCTCTCGCCATAATTAATGATCACTCCAAGCTAACAAGGGTCAATTGTTTGTTCGTGCAAAGCAGACGGACATGGTAGCGTCATCTGTGAAGATAATCTGTGAAAAGCAGATGAGCGCTGTTGAGGACTGCATATAACATAAGCCTGATGATCAATTAGTAACCACTGAATTTATGATGGAACACTAATAAGTTATCATCAAGAGAAGTCGGCAGAAAATGTAGCTAATTACCTAAACCTTCATTTTTAAGAGCATATATTTGATTGTATGTAAGAGGCGCTTTATTACCCTTGCATAAAAGGCACTGTACGGTAAAGGTAAAATGACTTTCGACAGTCGAGATTTTTCCGACGGTTATTGAATTTCGCTTTTAAGCATATGGAGACTTTCTATGAAACGTCTTCTGACGATGAGCACGTTTTTATTTTTTAATTTTCGCCGAACTGTTGTTCAGCTCGTTTGTTATTTTTGGCGCTTTTTAGCGAAATTATTTACTATTTAATTTTAGCGGGGTGCAAGACGACGAAGGCTCTACGTCCCCATAGCGATATCTCTCCTGCTATCAAGTAAGGTATGCGTAGTCCTATTACGTCAATAGTATACAATCCCGTTTTGTCTGTACTGAGATCTTAATGTGTTCACGCTGCCAGATCAAGTTGTCTGTGCCATTCTGAAGAAAAATTAGGGCTAGAAAATACAATTTATACTAAATGTTTCTACTGTTACAACCAGCATTGTCTCGTCCCAGACGACGTCCCAAAACGAAACGAAATTTGTCGATGCTTCATCCGCCTAGGAATAACTAATTTTCAAAACTTCAAACGTTTCTATTTATTGCTTTATCCTTTTCGTCGTGACCAAATGCTTTCCAACAGCTCACTTCCTATACCTTTTACTCCTGCATTAATTTTATTGCTTTTCTATAAGTTGTGTAACGTGTGTATTGCAGCAGTTTACAAATAAAGTGTCAGCAGGCCAAGCCAACATGCTTTTTTAACTCAAAATAGTTAATAATATAACTAGTTATCTAAATAAATAAACTAATTATATAATTAAGCGCGATTCGCTAGCTATTGCGTACATCAACAAAATGGTGATAACTAGAGTAGAATGACTTTAGATGGCATAAACACTCCTTGATTCGAACAAAATTGTTCTTATGTACTTCTCTTGTTATATATTAAAATTTTTTTTTTCCGTTTCATTTCGTCTTGCCGTAACTTCGGTATCCTCTGCACACCTTTGCTATGCATGGTTGCGGATATATCGTTTTGATACCAACTAACTTTCCTGTAGTAGTGGTTGCCAGAGAAGAGGCCAGAAATGGCATATGTCTAGGACACTCGCCACTAACATACAATGCACGAAACGCAGGTATAACATATTGAACATGTAAATATATATTGTAAATAGAAAAGAAAGCATTAACCAGTAAGAGAGGTGCAATAAAGTACGAGGGGCCTTTTTGGTCAGAGTGAAGACTGATGTAGCTAACGTCTAACACTAATCATATCAATATGAAATTGGCTTACGTTAACCGCGCTGCCATGAAATGGTTTTCGCACCAAATTACCGACCTTACATGGTAACCGGGTATGACACCTTTCTATTCCTGGGAACGTGAGAAGCATAATAAAAAATCGGTTATGATTATGTCGAATATAGAACACCCCAATTTCCATTCGAGATCATCCTATCTGTAAAGTAAAGCTTCAGTATGACGCTGTTGGGTTGTAAGTAATACGACTGTATTACTCAGCTCATATGCTACCGAACGATCAATCACTAGTTTCATATAAGGAGATGTTACACGAACTTCTCGACAAACTTTAATCCTTCTGTTTCTCATAAAAATATTAGAAGTGTTCGCCAGTTTGTAAAATGGTACGGACCTTGGATAAACACATTGAGTAAACTTTGAATAACTGTTTTTGCCCATGTTTATGCATTTTTTTAACGTAATGACATAGAGAGATCATCAAAATTTTCATTAACCATCAAAATGAGTGGTTTGAACACTGTCTGATATATATGGTAGCATTCGGATTATATTATCATAACCCCCAACTGAATACTCTATTTACATGATCAAATCTGTTTTATTAATTATCGTTCACGTTCAGCTTTGTAGGATATCTACATTATGAACTATATAAGCCTCTTCAAGTTTTCTTGTTATTTTTATATGACCAACTTAGTATTATTATCGGCCAGTTTTGCTGTACACATTTCTTAAAGATATAATGCGAAAGCTACTTTTTTTTTTGTCTTTGCTTTCAACTACAGCATCCAACATCGCCTATATGAATTGAAACCTACTTTAGCCTGCGTAGTCGGTGGTGGAAAAAGAACTTTACAAAGTTTTACACTATACATATTTAGAAATTATAGCGCTGGTCAAAGGATCAGATTTTTATGAACCACCACTCCGACAGTCGGCCGGAATAATCCGATGTTGAGTTTCGCTTTTGCTCTTATAAGCTTTGATTAGGCATAGTCGGGCTAGTGTATGAGGTTAGGCTCATCCAGACATAACACTGGATTCTAACCTGGAATGGGTCATGCGAGTATAGGCATCAATCTCCAAAAAGCAAAAAAGATCCGTCCAAGCCGCGTGACCTTTAACGGTTAAGTAATGGGATCCAGACAGACCACCTTACCATTGAGGGCTTGCGGAACGTTAGTTCACACCTCAGTGCAGCGAAGTTCAAGTTTTTGCGCCCGAAGCCAAGTTCATTCGGAAAAGCTTAGTTTCATTGTTTTTCGACTGTTGGAAATAGAACGCAGTTATCTTCTGTAACTTCTTTGCACTTCTGCAAGGCGGAAGTACGAATCGTCTGACGAGAAGTGCATTTCGCTTTCCAAATCTATAATGGCGCCATGTGCGCGTGAGGCACGACAGTGCATTTCTGTTCGCCACATTTAATTATTCAAAAGAAATGATTTAATCCAATGTAATTGACGATACAGGTGAGCATATCCGGAGCAAAGTGGTTACGCCGAACTTCATTCAGACCCGCGTACACCAAATTCCCAAATAGAATACGAAAGCTTGTCGAGGCACCAGGAGAGAGGTTTATGCATCTGGCAATAATTTACAATGACTTAGTATTGTTTGGAAGGTAAGAACAACCTTGCTCTATGTAAGACCTACTTTTTTTTGGCAAATGCATTATGCAGACCAAATATCACTGAATTGTGCTTTGTCCGGTACTGTGGGACTCTAAACCCTGGACCTCTTTATCAGCTTGGGTCATGGTTCGGGATGTATTTGATATTACTTCGAAACCATGACTTGCAGGAACAGTCATTTCGTCATCCTTCCCTTTGAACCGTTCTAGTCCGTCCTCCATTCTGGTTTTCCTCTTGACCAGACACGCTGGGTCCCGATGGAGACCGTACTCCCCGTACTCCCGTTAATGCCGACTGTAGTGTGTCAGGCTCTTGATTGTTTCGGGCCTGTCCTTCTACTATTCTCTTACGTCTCATCCTTTCAAGTTATTCCTTTCTTTTCATAATATCATCAAAGAAGGCCGTAACCTTAGCCCAGGTCGTCCTGTCTTTTGTCATCACATCCAGCATTTCCTTAGCGCTGCCCTTTGTTGCGACTTCTCTGTGTACCTGCTTACCTCTAACCCCTTTAAGTGCCTGGCAGTGAAGTAGAGTATGTTCTACTCCGTCCTTCGTGCCCGACACGCAAGGTACATAGGTGTCCACTTGCGTCTTGCCAATCTTT